CATTTCCTTTATCCGTTCTTTGATTGAGGGGCATCTAGGTTGTTTCCAGGTTCTGGCTAATGCTGCTATGAACATAGTTGAGCAAGTATCCTTGTGGTGTGAGTGTGTATCCTTTAGGTATATGCCCAAAAGTGGTATTGTTGGGTCCTGAAGTAGATTGATTCCCAATTTTCTGAGAAACAGCCATACTGATTTCCAAAGTGGCTGTACAATTTTGCACTCCCACCAGCAATGGAGGAAGTATTCCCCTTACTCCACATCCTCTCCGGCATAAGCTGTCATCAGAATTTTTGACCTTGGCCATCCTGACAGGTTTAGATACTTTTCTATTGCTGTAGTAAAACAGCATGATCAAGGCAACCTATCAACCACAAGCTAGATAGAGGGCGCTGAGAGTGGTCTAAGTCTTTTGAAACTTCACTGCCCCCATGGGACTTCCTCCAACAAGGCCACATCTAATCCTTCCCAAACAGTGTCACTTTCAGACATTTTTGCCTTTCCTTTTTTTTCCTAATGTCACCCCACAGTTCTTTATCTTGTCGAGTAGACCATTTAACATTATTAGCCATTTTTTTGATAATTGCATAGATGATACCATATTTATATCATTTCTATCCCACCCTCTCCCCTTCCAATGCCTTCTGTGCCCCAACTCCTTTTCAAGTTTATAATCTCTTCTTTAATTATTACTGTCTGCAGGGTCCATTTAGTGTTACTTGCATGTACATGTGCTTAAGGCTGACCATCTGGGACGCTCAACTTTGGAGAAGACTAATTATATATACTTCTCTCATCGGCCAGTAATTGCCTGTAGTTCTTTACCTAATAGTGGAGCCTTGTGAGATTTCCCCATCCACATCAGCACATCAACTGACATTGTTGTAGTGCAGGTCTTGTTGATCATATTGTTGAGATCTCATGGGTATAGTTTCCTTGTCACATATAGAAGATGCTATAGCAAATGCCCTGGTCCTCTGGCTCTTAGAATCTTCCTAAACCCTCTTTGACAATATTCCCCAAGTTTTAGATGTAGGGGTTGTGTGTAGCTGTACCAGTTAGGGCTGGACACCATATGGTCAGCTGTAGACTTCTGTAATAGTCTCTACCTACTGCATAAAGAACTACATTACCTGTTGTTCAAAGATAAGTACTTAGAATGCAGCTAGAAATTATACCATGGGCTAGAGAGATGGCTCAATGGTTAAAAACATTGATTATTCTTCCAAAGGACACTGGTTCAATTCCCAGCACCCAACTGTCAGCTAACAACCATCTGTAACTCTAGTTCCAGAGGGTCTGGTACCCTCTTCTGCCTCTGTAGAAGACACCAGGTGTGCCTGTGTACACAGACATATATGCAAGCAAAATACCATTCACATAAAATAAAAATGCTTTTTAAAAAAGAAATTATACTGGTTTAAGAAAGTGGTAATAGTAGGTTCTCCTCATCTAGGGTCAATGACTTCACAATGATGTTGACTGGGTTTACACTATCAGGTGTGAATTCCCCTCTATTGAGTAGTCCTAATGTCCAAGTGTGTGGTTTATATCTTGTGGGGATATCTTGGGGCTTTTTGTTGTTGTTGTTTTGGTTTTTTTTTCTTCATTTTGTTTTTTCAAGACCGGGTTTCTCTGTGTAGTTTGGAGGCTGTCCTAGCTCTGTAGACCAGGCTGGCCTCAAACTCAGAGATCCACCTGTCTTTGCCTCCTGAGTGTTGGGTTTAAAGGTGTGTGCCACCACTGCCTGGCTTTGTGGGGATATCTTGTCATGATGGTCATTGTTGTGGTTTGTAGGTATCACAGCTGGATAGGAATATTGGTTACTTTTCTTCCTTGCATAGCATAGGGAGAAAAGATTGCACAGCAACTTTGCATATTCTTGAGAACTAGTCCTCAGGGAAGAGGCTTCTGAGTTGGTTCCAGTTGGAGATTCATCCAAGTACTGTTTGCAAAATGTGTGGTGTCTTCAGCAATGTGGTCTCACCTTCAAGTCTGGATAATAACAAAGGGCAATGGCAATAGCCTATATTGTTTTGGGATTGTTCTAGATCTCCCTTAACCAACAATTTGAAGGGAGAATTTGCACTAAGGTTTGTGTTAGATAGTCTATGGTTCTTGGGGAAAAAATTGTTACCCTAAGTGGTATAACTACATCCAAATTTCCTCTTTCTCTCTCTCTTCATCCATCCATCCATCCATCCATCCATCCATCCATCCATCCATCCATCCATCCAGTTTATTATCTAATATGTGTAAACACATATGTATTTTTAAGTTCACATAAAACAATGCTTCCCTAAGGCTTTTTCAAACACCCTTAATGTTATTGAACCCTCCTCCCTCTTTCCCTTTGTACTGGCCTCCCTCACCAGTTTCCAGCTAAATTCTTCTTGCCCCCTGTCTTAGTTAGGGTTTCTATTGCTGTGAAGAGACACTATGACCATAATAGTCAATAGGCAATTCTTATAAAGGAAAACATTTAACTGAAGTGGTGGTTTAGTTTCAGAGGTTCAGTCCATTATCGTCATGGTGAGACAGGTGGCATGCAAGCAGACATGGTGCTGTAGAGGTAGCTAAGAGTTCTATATCTTGTAGGCAACCGGAAGTAGACTGAGACACTGGGCAGTATCTTGAGCATATGAGACCTCAACACTTCTTCCAATAAGGCATCTACTCCAACAAAGCCACACCTCCTAATAACGCCACTTTTTTGAGCTTATGGGAGCCAATTGCATTCAAACTACCACACTCTTTTCCCATTTCTCCCTTCCAGCACCAGTGTCCAGCTACCCTGCTCTTTAGAGCTCTTCCATTATTTTGTGTGTGGTACTGGGAATTGAACCAAGGGACTCGTGCCTATTCTTAAACAGATTTTAAAAGTCTAGCATTTAAATACGTAGCATGAGCTGGCCATGGTGGCACACACCTTTAATTCCAGCACCCAGGAGGCAGAGGCAGGTGGATCTCTGAGTTTGAGGCCAGCCTGGTCTACAGAGTAAGTTCCATTGTAGCCAGGGCTATATAGAGAGAACCAGTCTGTTAAAGTAGGTCAATTAAATATAAAAATTAAGATGTAGCATGCTTAATGTCTTTAAGGTCTTTTCGTTCATCTTCAAATTCACAGACTGACATTTAGTAATTTAGTAAAAATGCTTTTATTGGTTGGTTAAAGGAAAACAATTTTCCAGGGATGGTATTTGGCACCACCTGCTGAATAGTTTGGGTATGTTTGTCAATGTATGAACTGAGTTTGAGGAACTACTGTCAAGGTTATTTTCATCTGAATTCAGCTTCAGGACAGCCTGTGGTAGAGGAAATTTGGTTGTGAATCCATGGTCACTTAAGGTGGGACTTGTCCTGGGAAACTTCCTTTCAATATGAATATGTCAACCTTTGGATGTTTCAGGTGGGGTTTCTTAGCCAAGTCTCTGTTGCCTCCCACAGCCTAGACTCAACTGCAGCTTCCCCATCTACTCAGCTGCCTAGGCAGGCTGCACACCAGGCTGCAGGCCCTTTTTGTATTACCTTCACATCTGACTAGCAAGTAAACAAAACTTCCCCCATCCCCAGGACCGTGAGACAGTCTTTCACAGACAATTCCTGCCGACATGATGCTTGCCTATTCACTTTGCCAAGAGGATGATCCTTGGCAAGTGGTTTATCTCTGACCCTCCACTTTCTTCTCATCTTTAAACCAACAGGGGAGTTATAGAAATGGACCTCCTTGAAACTTGGGTAGGACAGCAGTGAACAAAGTTTGGGTCCTGCAAACACTCCTGACTCTCCCAAATTGTTATAAAACAGCTCAGGTGTTTCCTCTGAGACTTCTGTGTTGTCCCCTCACTACAGCTCAATGCTGGGAGGATGTCTGTGAAGTGTCCCCTCCACACCTGCTTACAGCGGGGTGTGCTTTATTCCTGTGCCCTAAGGCCACACTGGCTTCTCCTTTTTTTCCTTTTGTCAAGTGCTTTTTCTTTTCTTCTTTTGGGACAGGGTCTCACTATGTCACTCTGGCTGGCCTAGAATTCTTTATATAGAACAAGTTGTCCCTGAACTCACTGAGATCCACCTGCCTCTGCCTCTGCCTCTGGAGTACTGGGATTAAAGACATGCACCATCATACCAGTTTACACCAACCTGCAAGTGTATGAGTTTCTTGCTTACATGTACCTGTGCATGTACATGTTGTGTGATGCTCTAAGGCCAGAGAAAGGTATCTGATCCTTTGGGAATAGTTATAGACAGTTGTGAGCTGTCATTTGGGTGCTGGGAAAATCCAGGTTCTCTGCAAAAACAAGTGTTCTTAACCACTGAGCCATCTCTCCAGCCCTCAGACAACTTTGACTAAAATTTTCTTAAGGGCTGAAAGCCAGTTGTGGTCAGCAAGTACCTGAACTCAACGGTAGCACAAGCTGTGGGGTCATTTAAGCCCTTGACACTCATCCCTCTGCAGATGTGCTCTAATTCATGCTTCATATATGTACTGTACTATTATCACAAACTTCATTTTATGCAAAAGCTGACACCATTCTGTAAGAGGTGGACAGGCCACAGTTCACTCATTATTCTTGTCTGGTGCTGACATTTAGCTTGTCTCTAGTTTTTGTGTATGTGCAGAAACCTTACTCTGTATTTTGAAACATCTTTGGAAACATCAAATGAATAGGCATTATTCAAAGGTCTTAAACTTTGCCGGGTTTTTCACCAAGACTGAGTCAATATCATCATGCACGAATACTCTCATTTCATTAGACTGAGAGATGACTGGTTTCTCTCTCACAAACACACGTACAAATCGATATAAATGCACACACGGGTGTACAAACTTAGGTTAACTTTATTTAAATATTTCCTTGTTTTGTTCTGCTCTATCACAATGATTTTCTGACTTCTAGCTGTACCTCTCTTTTAAAGAATCCCATGCCTTGCCGTCTCCTGGAGTCTGCATTTCCTACAGATTTTCATGAGGTAGCACTAACAGATAATCTCAGAAAACAATCTCCAAATGTCAGAAAGAAATTTATTTAAAAAAAATATTAAGGCACAAAAATACAATTTTTTCAAACAAAAAGTCCTTTAAATTGCTGTGTTCTATACTCAAAGAAATTTCTCCCAAATAATAATTTAATCTTTTTAAATAGAGAATATATTTTAACCTCTAAACTTTCTCCCCAAAGAATGAATGTTTTCCTAGTTCTAAAGAAGCTTCATACAGTATCAAGTTCCTGTCCTATAGTGTACACTTCCTTAGAAATCTAGTCTTGTCACTTATATATATCTGAGTGTTCACAATTTGAATATTAAACTTCCTCTGATAGATGTAAGGCTTGGTGTTTTGTATTGCTTACTGCATGCTGTCAATCACAGACATGAGTATCACAACAGGAGACAAAACCTAGCATGGTCTCTCTCAGCTTCAGTTATAGACAGCCAGGTCAATAGCCCCAAACCTCCTTCAAAAGGGTATGCAGATCAACTCTATGTGCACACGTTAAGCCTAATCTTGACATTATAGTAGTCTAAGCATGATGTACCATAATCCAGACAGAAAGTTCGCACTTTCCACAGGATAGGAAAACAGTTAAAAAAAAATACAAAAAACAAACAAAAAATCTAGGAAAAGCATGGGGGCATCCTACCAACTCCCAAGTTGACAATTTCCAACTCTTGTTTCTTACTGAAATATAATAACTACCCCAGAAGGCACACATTTAAATATTAACCTAATTCAAATTATGAAAAAATGTCTCAAGCAAACTTCATAAATCATCAAAATTTAGCATGAACTAAATAACAAGAAGTCTGAGCACTAAACTGGAACCTTATCCTCAGACCTCTCAACTAACTGGGAGGTCCTGCCAACAGCATCCTGAACAAACAGAGGTGGGCACCTGGAATGTCCCAGTGTTGTCTGGAGATTTGGGGCAGATGGGGAAGGAGATTGAGGGGCTACACGGCAGCCCTCCCAGTGCTTATGAACTACACCTACTGTGTAGGGACATACGCTAGGGCTAAGAAGGCCCCCCAAGAAATACTCAGGTCACTGAACATTATTACACATGGCACAATTATCACTAAAGGCAACAGACACCACACACACCCTTCCAAAACACTTCTAGGGATTAAGATGGAACTCTACTAGCTCTGGATGGAAACAAAAGTGTTCATTTCAGCCTGGAGCTATGACAGAGGCAACATCACTTATCTTTCCTGTTTTTTCTTTTTGAAACACTACTGAGGTGGTATCAAAAGCATTTCCCTGGCCATCAGCTACCCAATACACTTACCAGTGTGGGCTCCTGCTGGCTGTGCACAGAAACATTCAACTGCAGGCAATGGGGGTGTGGGTGAACTGCCTCACCGGGGAGGACAGGGCATTAAATGCAGATTCAAAGTGGGCCTTGGTGGTGCATGCCTGCAATCTTAGCAAAAGGTTCTCAAGTCCAACATCAGTCAGCCTGGGCTACAGCGACACCCTGCAACCCCCACCCCTTAAGAGGCATCTCCTGTTCTCAAATAACTAGTTAGAAAGTAGACTATGCCAAAGCCAAAATGGACAAGCACACAGGAAAGCATGGTGGACAGAAGCCACTGCTGTGGTGGAAACTGACAGGAGTGGAGCCACCACGGTTGAACTGGCCACTCTCCCCCTGGGAAGCGCCAGGAACCAGTGGGTATTCGAGCCAGCCTTTCTCCATCAGGTCTGCCAACACTGCACAGTTTCCCAGTGTTCACTATGGAAAACACATTTTCCAGACATACAGCTATAGAAATATATCTCTATCAACCCCTTTGAAATAAGTACACAGGAAATTAACTCAAAAAGTAGGCTTTTGAATGAAGGGTTTGTTTTGTGGCATCACAGTGAAAATCACTGCAGGTTATAGTTAAATGTTCCTGGTCAGATTTTCACATTTTCTCAATTATTCCAAGTTACTGCAATTCACAAGGCCAAGAGTCCTACAGAGGAAAGCCCTAAGACCCTGCCTTTCATTACTAAATGTTGTCAGCCTGGTATCTTTGGTCACAAAAGTAGTAAAGCATTCACATTTTCATCACACTATATTCAAGTGCCTTTCAAGTCTACAACATTCTATATTTAAAATATTAGAATACAAACTCTCAATCATACATTATAAACATAATTTAACAAAGCAAGGTGAGAAATATGGTTGAGGGTTGGTAAATTACATGTTGATGCATGGTAATAGTTAGTTGCCATCATGGAATGGCAAACACCAAGAATGTGTAACCAACCTGATACTGTGCACAGTCCCCACAAAAGGAATGGTGCACGGAGGGGCTGGGAAGAAAGTGCTTTAGGGGAGCCACAGGGCCAGTGTCACAGCAGAATTAGCAGCAGCATGTGTACATGTGGCCTGCATGTCTTTGGACATACGTTTCTCGTTGTGCACTTGTATTCCCCTGAGCTCAGATTCCATGATGTGCAGTGCATGGTGGTATTTACAAATAAGAGCTTTGTGTACACCAACAGAGGGGACAGGACTAAACATATGAACATGCTCATGTTCCAATATTAAGTCACTTCAGTATAAAAACTCCAATAAAATTACCACTACAAAGATGAACACTGCTGTGGAGCATTCAGGAGCATCATGTTATCTTAAGAGGAGAAGGAAGGTGTGTTCATAGATTCTTTCCCTTTTCTTTTTTTACTTTTGTTGTTTGTGTGATTTTTTTGAGACAGGGTCTCACTACGTAGCTCTCTCTGGTTGTCCTGGAACTTCGTAGACCAGGCTGGCCTTGAATTCAGAGATTTCAACTGCCAGGCATGTATAACCACACCCAGCTACAGATTCTTTGTTCTGGAGAAAACTGAGACCACAAATTTGAATGCCAGTAGCTGTCACCTAACTCACATCTGTGTAGACATTGCTAAGACTATCAGATTATTTCCAAATTCAGGCAACTTAATGGCAATTAAACTGACTTTATGAGTCAGTTTTAAAGATGGCTTTATGAGGGCGGCAGACCCTCCCACTCCTGAATCCTTCATTTTCGTACACAAATCTCCAAGACAACACAATGAAACAGAGTGAAGCCGTCGACTACAGGTCCCAGTCACATTATCTTTTCTGAAGAGAACATCTTTTCAGCTATTTCAGATCTGGTCATAATTTCCTAGGGGGGAAAAATAGGTGTCAAATGTTGGGGTTACACCCAGAACCTACTAAAACTTTATCTTACAAGTCACTATATTTAATCTTTTTAATAGCCCTAACTTTGGGAAAATATCAGGTAAGAACCACAGCCCCCACATTTTCTAATTTAGCAGTCTGTCATGTGGCAAGGCCTTCTCCACCCTGCCATCCTGCCACAGCACTACTTCAGAGCCATCTCCCTTCCAGCTCTTCTCATGCTCTACCACCAACACAGTGTGTACCAACTGCTAATAGCCACCCCTCCTCTGTATGAGCCAGGGCTTTGTCATTTATCCTTTAATCCATATACTGAAGATGTACCCTGCCTTGGGCTACCCTGCATTGTCTAGTTGACCAATAACTAACCCCCAAAAAGCCTTTATTTAAATTGCATGCTTAGTAAGGAAAGCTGGAAAGAAACTATTCCAATAAATTATTTACATATGTCAGAAGTTAAACAAAAGACACACAAGGCTTCTTCCCTTCATTTACACCAAGAATCCTTTATCCTGCTTCTCCCTGCAGTGAGACTTAGCCCACAATCCTTCACACTTCAAGCCAGCACCGCATCCTTCTGCCTGTTCAGGTGGTAATTGCTTCAAAAGGTTATTTTCAGAATATGGAAACAGCTAAAGGAAATAAGCAAAAGCAGCTTTACCTCATCTGAGTCCACTAAGACGGGGAGAGCTCTGAAACAAAAGAGACAAAAACAATGAACTCCACAAAAGCTGTAGGGGCAGTAGGGCATCCAGGAGGAACCAGGGCTTAAGGTACTGGCAATGTTCTGCCTTCAGATTATAGAAAGGAACTCATTTAAAAACTGCATTGGCATCTACCTAGGATGTGGACAATTTCCAGAATGTGTGTTCCTTTGAAAATGTTCAGCCTAAAGTTAACAGAAATATTTAAAAAAATTGAACTTCAAATAGAAACAAGCTAGTACAAGGGAATCCTACTACATGTGGAGCAGTTGGTTGAAAACTCACATGAGAATTGAAACACCCCACCCCCTATTTACTTTTCAATCCTTGGCTATTTCTTTTTTTTTTTTTTTTTTTACTTGTAACAATTGTCTTGGTATTCACCACTTAACTAGAAAACTTGTGCTTTTGTAAAAAACTAGGAAAGATAAGCACATTACCAAAGGTAATATTTCTCTTTTATGGAAAACGTTTGTTTGGAGATGTATTTAATTATTGTGTTAGCAGGTGTGTGTGCTTGGAGCACAAGTGTGGACGTCAGGGGCTACTCAGGAGCTTGCTCTTGCCTTCTACTGCTGAGGCCTGGGAACTAAACTCTTGGCCTGGGAACTAAACTCTTGGCCTTTGCCTGCTGTGCCAGACACAAACAGACCTAAAATTCCCAGTATTTAAGGATGAAATGTAAAGGACCTTGAAACTGGTGGGGTGGGGGTGGGGGAGCAAATACAGAAAAAATAAAACCACCACAGAAAATTAAGTTCACACAACACACAGGGATGAAAACTAAAACAGCCTCCTTCTGAAGCCTTGAGAGCTTGGGCTGGTGAGATGGCTCAGTGAATAAGTATGCCACCAACATGGTGACTCGAATTAGATCCCTGGGCCCATAAGGAAGGAGGGAACCAACTTCTACAAGTTGTTTCCTGACCTTTGTCATAATGTTTATGAGCATGTGTGTGCACACACACAGGTGGATATAAAAATTGTTTTACATATGTCTGAACTTTTCTGTAAAACAAAATTAAATGATTCTGAAAACTGTAACCAGGAAGAGAGGGAGTTAGTTGCAGGCTATTAATATTGAAATGGATGTACAGTAGAAGGGCAGGGAAAGGGGTTGAGGCTGTGTTTAGCTCTGTAAGAAGTAGTGACAGGACACACACACACACACACACACACACACACACTGACAAACATCCAATGAAATCCCTTAAACTATAGCCTCAGGTTCAAACTTAAACATAGGATATTTACACGTCTGTGAATGAAGAGGGAATATTTTCTTCCACCCACTTCAAATCTTCATCCTGTAGAAATAAATACTTATATTTAGTATTTGCTAAATATCACCTGAAAACATACATGGGGGGGGGCATGTTTGTAAGTTTACAAACCTGAATCAGATGCATGGAATCTGTTAGTTGTCACATGTGCTCTAAGAAGCTGGCTCAGGATGTCACACACCAAGTGACAGTGTTTCATAACAGACAGAAAATTGCTGATCTTTCTGTTTCTTGGTTTTAGTTAAGAATATTACTGTTCTTTTTCTTTTTGTCTCAAGAAATCGAAATGAAAATGCAGAATTGGTTTGTAAGACAGCAAATAGCAAGGTTCACTTTGATTTTTGCTTCTATTCCTCATTATGCCCAATTTGTACAAATTCTCGAGTTTATATTTTTTCAATTGAAAACAATAATGGACAATGCTCCAACCTCAGTAAAGCACTGAAATGGTGTGCATATACCTGTGTTCATAGTCCTACACGAGGCAAGGAAGGCCAATCAGCTGGGGTAGGTGTTTTCCCTTCTAATAGAAATTTGCTTCTAGTAATTACACTTAGAAAAGAGAAATGACAGTATAAAATAAATCAAGTTTTTCTTTCCTATGTACCTGGCAACCTGGGTCACTCTACTTGCAGCAGTAAGCGCCTTGCTGACTGAAACAAGGCAACAGAGCCCCATTTCTGTGTGTGGGTTCCAGGTAGAAATTAGTAATGAAAAATAAGACCTCTAATTTCTAATCAAAAGCCAACAACACTTAGCTTAGAAGAATGAATAAAAATCCTTTGACATGTGACCACTGAGTTTTAAATAGAGTGATATTTTCACCAGAAGGAAAATAACAAGTTGGAAACGTTAACACAGCTTAAGTATTCCTCATCTAAAAATTATTGGGGCCAGAAGTGTTTTAGATTACACATTTTATATTTCCAAGTATTTGCATATACACATATGCAAAAAGCACCCACACTGAAACATGAAATTCATTTATGATTCATACACTTTACATGCACAAGCTGAAGGCAATTTTAAGTAGTATTTGTAAGAATTTAGTATATGAAACAAAGTTCCTCAGTAGTTTTTCTACTTGTGTCATGTTGATGCTCAGAAACTTGGAGGCTTTGAATTTTCAGATTAGAGTGCTCTAGCTGCAGCTCTAATACGGCTAAGTAAAACTAGAGGCTTTTAAAAGCAAAAATTCCCATGAAACTACTCCAAGAATACATTTTACAGGCTGCCAAAAGTAAAAATAAGAGAATTCATCAAATCTACCAGAGAACAGTGTTGTCATACAGCACTTGTCCTGTGAAACTCCCACATATATAATTTTATATATAGTATCATTCCATGGCAGCAGAGTGCACTTTACATGCAGAAGCTGAAGGCAATTTTAAATAGTATTTGTAAGAATTTAGTATATGAAACAAAGTTCCACAGTAGTTTGTAAGTAGTGTATGTAAGGCTTCATTCTGCTTCACTGCCATCATCATCACTTTCATTTACCGCAACGTGTAAGGTATTTTAAGACTCATCTTTGAGCCAAGTGTGGTAGTGCAGGCCTTTTATCCCAGCACTCGGAAGGCAGAGATAGGCAGATCTGTGAGTTTGAGGCCAGCCTGGTCTACACAGTGATCTCTGGATTTGGTTCATTGCACCCCCTTGATGGCTCACAACCAGCCATAACTGCAGTCCCAGAGGTTTTGACTCTCTCCTCTGAACCGAGGGCACCAGGTACACACATGCACACACATACATGTGAGCAATACTCATATACATAAAACTATAAAATAGTCTATAAACTCATCCCTGCCTTATATTACAAAGCCATGGGGTTACTGACTGTAAATGACTGGTTGTTTCTGTCCACACCTTTCTTGGGTGCCACTACTATGCCTCCCTAATAAGAACAGCTGTGGGATTCTTTGCATAGCCCTTTGGTGGTGTGCTTTATACTTATTGAGCACACATATAACTGTGGATGGTCAGGAAGATGATTTCTGCTTAAGCTATATAATTTTGATGATTAAAAATAACACTAGGATATTTTATATACTCAGACTGACATAGGATTCTCAGTCACAAAGATAGCTTTTTACACAGACAGCTAATTTTAGACTCCAGAACAAATTCAAAGCAGGCTGACTGCTCCTGGAGACAACTATCTGGTTGCCCCTAGAGACAAATACATGAGGTCATTTCCCCAGGTGTTTTGCTGATTCAAGGTCAGAGGTTGAAGCAACTTTAGTAGACATAGCTCCCTGCAGCAATGAACTTTCTGCACTACTCTCTTACCACTCAAGGTTCAGGTAATTAATTGTTAAGTCTTGAATTACAATGTCATTTTCTGTCTGGGAACATTAACCATTTAAGCTACATGCATGGCCAAGTGTTACTCACTGGCGGGTCAACGTGATATCTCTGCCTAAGAGAAACTATGTGACTTATCTTGTGTTATGAGAATGGGTCAGGTTCTGGAAATGTAATATATAATTATTCAGAGTTTGGCTGTGGGAACAGGGGCAGTGAAGAGAGCAGAGGAAGGGTTGGGGGGGGGGAGAGGCTATGGAGAAAAATTAGAGAGAAGCTCCTGATTAGATGAATGAGCTAATTAGGAAGCTGTGGAGAGGAGTTTTTCAAGATGAAGTAAAGAGAAAGTTGTTATCAGAAAGAATGTGTGTATTCTTACTTTTCCCCTCACAGAGAAAAAGTCTAACCCTCAAATAGATAAGAATTTTTTCCTAAGCTCTTAGCCCCATTCCAGGATTTTTTTTTTTTTTTTTTGCACACCTTGGGTGCTGACTAGAGGCTGGCCCCCACCCCCCAGATAGACTAATATTCTACATTTTATTCATGCATTCATAGTTTTAAAAGTCTGTTGTTTTGGAAAGGGAATGGGACATAAGAAACCCTTTTCACAACAGGTGACAACCTGTACCTAATACAGTTTCAAAAGAAACTGCTTGGATGTGCTGAAAAGCCACCACTGACTTTTACCAAGACAAAGCCTATCCATCTGGGATGAGCCTGGCAGAGCCCTGGCCAGACATGGACTCAGACACAACAGGGCTAGGGAAGCCTGAGGTGCTGCACCTCCAGCAAGTGCCTGGCCTCAGGCTGCTGGCCCAAGCACAGCACCTGACAAATGAGAATAGACAGCAGCAACATCGAAGCTGTGGGCCTGAACTTGCACCGGTGCCTGGAAACAGCTAATTTAACAACAACAAACCTTAGCAAAAGCCCCTTTGATGATCAGCAACTCTGACATGGACAGACTCTAAAATATTAGACAGAGATTCCACTAAACACACAGATAGATACTCACAAAATTATCACAAGTAGGTTTAGCTGTTCCGTTTGAAACTGTTTTTGAAGCTCTTAGTTTTATTCCTTCAGCTACAATGAGAAACATCAGAGACATATAGATGATTATAAAATTATACTTTCCTTAATAACTTCACACTTAATACGCCCCCCCACCCCAAAAGAAAAAAGATTAGTTTTTGAAGAGTTAGGAATGGCCACTTTGGCCAAGGCAGTAGCTTTAATATGCCACTTCGGGATTAGGAAAGAGGCACAGGGAACGCCAACAGGCTTTTGAATTGATATGCAATAATTGAACACTTTATAGTGCTATTTCACTTCCTCCCCACACACACAGTGTGTCAGGGATACATCAAGGCAATTGGCCAAATGTCACTTCCAAATAATCTTTTCTCTGCACTGAGAACGGAGTCCTCTCTAGCTATTTAAATTACTAACTGTAACCACCCTATTGTACTATCCACTAGGACTTGTCCTTCAGTCTAACTCGAATTCTGTCCCTTTTAAGCAACTGTTGTCTATTACTGTTCCTGCTTTTTCTCCTCACTTCAACCTCTGTCACCCCCTGCTCCTGAAATCAACTGTTCGGCTTTTACATCAGTAAGAACATGCAGTGTCTACCTTTCTGTCCCTGGCCTACTTCACTGAGCAGTATCCTCAAGGTTCAAGTTCTAGCAACTACTTCACAGCAAGCAGGTTTCCAACTTGCTGGTCTGCAATGCACCTGTGGAGAAGTTCAAGCATATATACTTCCCCCAATTCAATTTAAAGTGTAAGGATAAATGTGTAAGAGTTACAATATTTCAAAATAAGACATCTTTGGGAGCTTGGGACATATCTCAGTAATAGAACATTTGCCCAGACTGTGTGAAGCCCGAGGTTTTATCACTAGCATCCCAACACACACACACACACACACACACACATCTTAGAAATTTTTACTTGCTTGCCATATAAAAAGCAGAGTATGCTTATGATATAAAATATGATACGAAAATTATTTTCTTCATATTTGATGAAAACTGTTTTTTAGATTTTTTTTAAATTATGCATGTTTGTATGTATGGGTAAGTCCCACTCCTCTTAAAGAGACTTTACACTGTCTGTGACTTGTAGTAAGTAGTGTGTGAGGCATCCTCTTTAACTGGCTATCAGTCACGCTGACTGTAACCACTGTGGGGTTTGTAGTAGCTCACTGCTGTTTTATGTTTCCCTGATTATTGAGAACACTGAGCACTTCCAATGTGCACTGTAAGTCCAAGTCTTCTATTCACTGTTACCATGTGGGTAACTTTTCAATGGATGTCTTCCTATCATTCTCTACCTTCTTTCTTTGGGGGGGGGGTTAGAGGGGTGGGTGGTGTCTCATTTAGTCTAGAGTTCACTGTTTCAGGAAGACTGGCTGGCCAGCAAGTTTATACTGCCTCTCCTCTCCCTCCCACCTCCAGCACTGGTGTTACACCTGGCTCTTACATAGGTGCTAGGATCCAAACTCAAGTTCTCGTTATGTACTTAGCAAACACTCCTGAGCCACCTCCCCAGTGTGTGTAGGTGCATTCGCACCTGTGTGTGTGGGTGGTGGAGGCCAGAGGGCAACCTCTGGTGTTGTTCCTTGGGTGTACACTAGCCTGGAATCAGCCAAAAAGGCCAAGTTGGCTGGCCAGTGAGCAATAACCTGCCTCCCCAGCACTGGAGTTATACATTCATGCTACCCAGCTACCAGGCTTGCCTTCTTGTTTTTAACATTGGTTCTGGGGACTGAATTCATGTCCTCATGCTTCCAAGGCAAACACTTTACAGGCTAAGACATCTCCCCAGTCCTAATAGGAAAAATTTTAAACAATACATGTGACCTTGCATCTCAAGTAAAGACTTCATTCTCTTAAAATATGTACAATAGTCACTTGAAAAGAAAACAAATGACGCACTTAAATTTTCAGATGTTACCATGAATTCCTCAACTTCATCATCAGAATCATCTATCAAGGGCATGAAGGCATACCTAGATAAAAACAAAGGAGACTTTAACCCTGATCATTGTCAGTCATTGCATATAAAAAGCTGTACTATCCAAGTTTCTTAGGCATTAAGATAATAACTAACCCCTGCCCACCCCATTTTAGCATTTTTCTAATGAAAGGAAGGTGCTAATCTGATTAGGGACATTAAAGATAAGATCAAATAACTTCTCAAAAATACTCTTTATAAAAAATTTGCTTCTATAAATTGCCAAGTATAGCAAGGAGGAAAAAAAAATTTAAGAATTATTTTACGTGTGTTGCCTGCATGCCTTCAGATGCCCTGAAGCTGGAGTTATAGGTGGTTATGAGCTGCTATGTGGGTAGTGAAAGCTAAACCTAGGTCCTCTTAAACAATGTTTACATTTATAATTCTCTAAGTTTTTTTACTTTAATTATTAAATACTGTTGATGGAAATAATCTTTCTTAAGGTCTTTTGGGCCATATCTGTAAAGGTTCCTTTGCCTTATAGCACACCAGAAAAGTGTCTCCAAAAGCTTTCAGGAAACATTGCTGATAACCACAATGTCAAATGCCCAGTATTTTTGGAATGCATATATATATATATATATACACACACACACACACACACACACACACACACACACACAGTGCCACTCACATTACAAAATACTGCACAGCCTTTGGTTACTGTGATGTATCTATTCATGGTGATACAGAAATATTTAGAATATTTCTAAAAGGTATAGAACAGTATTTATCTGCTTCTGCCTCCTGAGTACTGAGTTTAAAGGTGTGACCCAACATGCCCAGTTATTTGCATTTTTATTAATTTGTGTGTGTGCATGTACATGCATGTGCTCACACAACTGGAGGTCATAGGACAACTTTCAGGAGCTGGTTCCCTCCTTCCAACATGTGGGTCCCAGGCAATGAACTCATGTCTGCAGGTTTGATGAGAAGAGCTTTTACCTGCTGAGCCACCTCACTGGCCCAGTATGATTATTAATCGTTGAAGAGGGAAGGAAACAGACTTCCTAGTAAGAAATGCAACAGTTTTTTCCTTGGAGAAGGTGGCAGGCAGAAGAAGGTGGGACTGGCCACCACAGTTCAAAGTACAGAGTTCTAAATTGGCACTCAACCTTGTGCCATTTGTTCCCTCTCTCGCTGTCCTGAATCCCAAATTGTATACCTGTCTGAGCATCAGGTCAGTTGCTCTAGAAGCTTCTGGCTCTGAGGATCCTGGATTTCAGAATAGGATGCTTACACTCCATGCAAATAGTCTAAACTCAAAGCACTTCTAAGCATGTGGTATAAGAATGCTGCACCTGAACACAGTAGAGGTGGTCCTGATAGTATAGGTGGGGGAGAGCTGACCCTGAGAATGTGAAAGCACAACTGGCCCCACCCCTCACTCACTGCTGCAAGGGTGAATTAGCCTGGGCAATGCTGGAAAGCTATGCTAGTGGTGAGGACAGGGGAGAAGTGGTGGACTGACCAACCTTACAGCTGCCTAGGCCTATAACCAGGGTTATGACTTGGCCCACCACAACATTCACCCCATCTATGATCTGCTGGAACAAGTGAAGGGGTCTGGTCCACATACCCAAAGCTACAGGATCTCCACTGTAATATGAATTTAAAAAAATCCAGAGACTGATATTGGGGTTCAAACATCAAGCTGAACATCAGAAGAGCAAAGTAGCTGGCCACTAGCTTTTTACCTCTATCTCAGGCTGAATGGGCTGATCCTGTCTTTATGAGCTCTCACCAAGCCTCAGACTGTAACCTCTCCTCAGCATGGCTGGAGAATGAATCTTCCTACTGAGATTTTGCTCCTGTCTTATATACCTCTCATGAGTCCTGGGATTAAAGGTGTGAGCTATAATTCTCTTTTAGACTGATTTAATCTTGTATAGATCTGGGGTGGCCTTGAACTCACAAAGATCCATCTATCTCTTAATCCTGAATTCTAGGATTAAACATGTGTACCACCACCGACTAGCTTCTGGCTGCTGGGATTAAAGATGTGTGCCTGGTTTCTATGGCTTGTGGCTGACTTTGCTTTCTGAATCTTCACACAAGCTTTAATGAATCATAAATAATATATCACCACCCTCCACAACACAGGGCAACAGAATATTCAAGAAGAGTCCTAATGAGGGCCCAGCATCAATGGTGCAGCAGAAACTAAAGGCCTTGAACCAGACCAATGACTCTCTGCAATGAACACTTGCAAGTAAAGACATATGGACAAAGGGGTTTACTGCGTGACTCACTGTGTCACATGGCAGCTTCCAAGACAAGATTTTACATTTTTTTCTTTTTTTCTCTTGTTTTATTTTGGGGAAGTTGCAGGGACAGAGGGTGGATGTGAAGGGACGGGAAAATGAATGGGACAAAGATGTATGATGTGAAAGACACAGTGAATAAAAAGAAAGCAGGGGAAAAATGCTGCACCTGCTATCCTAACTATACTGCACACCACGCTGACTTCTATGTACCATGACTTCCACAATTCTCCCCAAATGTACATCTTTCCCAGCCCAATCTTTCACTATGCTATTGCTATCTTAAAGCTATACCACAATTCCAGCTCTTCATGGAGTCTTTATTTTCCTCCTAGACTGCTTAATGTATCTATTTTACTGTCTTCCATTTGTTATGCCTGTCTTCTCACTTGAATATACAACTGCTTAAAAACAAAGTACTTCCCAGCAGTCTCTGTGTGTTTTCTGTCATGGTCCCTGCAAGCATCAAAGCTAGCATAGAAATGATCTGTGTGAGGCGAAGGATAAATTTGGGTCAGCACCACTTGAGCAGGTGCTAGGTCAAGACTTCTAGAATCTGACTTCAGGGTTTTTTGTTTTTTTCTTACATATTTAAGCATAGTAAAACTTTGGAAAAAAAGTCTTCATGTGACAATTATCACAACACACCTTCAGGGATGGCTACATCAAAATTCCCTTGCAAAACACACCTCTATAGCAAAGCACCTGTGACCCTTGCAATAAGAATGAGTTCTGCTGCCTGATAAAAGTGCTCAGGGTAAGGATTTGTAATACGCATAAGGAAAGATTCTACTGAAGGAGGATGCAAAGTACATGGGACCTTTTCATAAGGAAGGGTTCTATTCACTGAGAGACAAAGCTCAGAATTAGGGCCTAAACATTGCTCAGAGTTTGGGGGACTCAAGTAAAGGCTGGCTCCACAGAATAGCAAAAGATCACCATGTTGTTAGATGACATTCACCCTAGTCTTCTCCAGCCTTCCAGGTGAACAGGCATCATTTCCTTCTCTTGAAGAACAAAAGTCTCTGGATTGTCAAATACTTTCTGTGAGCTGTGCTCCTAAGGTTCTCAACACCACAGGAGCCAGCCAGCAAATGCCTGCAAGTCATAATTTCCCCGAGTTGTTACCTCTGATTATTCGCTGATGGCCTCCATAAGAACATTATCACAATAAGGATGAGTGAAAAGAGAAAGCTCCAAAATGCATCATCAACCCAGAGCTCCATCCAGTCCTAGAACAAGGATGATCCAAACGCAAATTGTCAATTTTCTGATAAATGTGCAAATGTTCCATTCAAACAGTACACAGCAGTACCGAGACCTCTCCAGCTGGCAAGCCCTCCTAGTAAATAAACAAGTAACAGTGTTGTTTCTAAACAGCATATATATTTCCCTTCATGAACATAAAGAGTTAGGAAAAATAATCAAAACATAGACAGAACTTCAAGCAGAAAATATTATAGAGGGGGGAAAATGGCAAAAGGGTTGGCTTCTTTCCTTGAACTGTCTCTTCCACTGCAGCAGATTAGGGCAGCTGGACCCTTTGTAGGTGTACCTGTGATCTCAAGAATCAGGCACTAAGTGAGAACTGAGATGAAGTATGGGACATTTCCCCAAGCAACGCTGCGTGTGACATCAAGGCAGCACTGCACCTCAGGTGTTTCGTTCAATTTAGGTACCATGCCAGGCTGGGGTGTAGCTCAGAGAAGCAGAGCATGTGCAATGCCCTGGGTGCCATCTCTAGCACAAAAGGTAAAAAGAAGTTCAGAAAAAGGGGTAATAAATGTAAGAGGAACTTGCTCAAATATTTATTTATTTTTGGTGTTATGATACAGGGTCAAATACAGCCCAGGCTGGTCCTCCGGCCTCCTCTGGCTCCTGAGTGCTGGGTTACTGGATTGTGCAACTACTGACAGTTTATATGGCACTGGGATTAAACCCAGGGTTGTGCACATGAGACAAGCATTCTACCAACTGAGATCCACCCCCAGCTTCAGAATTATTTAGAAGAGAAAAAAGTTTTCATAACTCTACAAAAAATAAGTAAAATACCCAATGAAACTATATCTTTACAAACTAAACTCTTTGAAATTCCACAAAATAAAACACTATAATTAAAAACAGTAACTGTCTAAATAATTAATTTGAACATTTTAATTCCTTAATAATTAACCAGTCACATTTTTTTTTGTGGGCTTAGTGGCTGCACATAAATCTACTGATATTTTAATTATCATCTGCAGCCCCTGGTGGGGCTTCCTGTCCTGCAGCCACAGCTCTCTATCATCCTCTATCCGTAAGACTCGGGAGTCAAAGGCTGGGGTAGAAACCTGATAGCTCAGAGAGACAGAGTAGCAACTAGCTGACCTTGTTTTTTTGGCAGGAGACACCATAACAGATGTCTCTTCCCTCATCCCAAAAACAAGAGGAAGCTCAAATTCCAGTCCCCACCTTTTCCTTCCTGTGTGTCTTTTCTGTCCAAATTGTTGGCTTCTCTCAATGGCCAATTTCATAAGTCAGTCGCTGGCTCTGCCCCAATTCAAGGTATAACTTTATCGGGCAGTCTCAGGAATGTCAGAGTGTCATCAAACTATACCACAATATTTTTCCCTTTTTGTCTAATAAAAAGACACGTCTCTTGTGGTAGCTCTGGCCAAAAAACAAGGTCAGCTAGTTGCTACTCAGCCTCTCTAAGTTATCACATTTTCTTTCTTTCTTTCTTTCTTTCTTTCTTTCTTTCTTTCTTTCTGTCTTTCTTTTTTTGGTTTTTCGAAACAGGGTTTCTCTGTGGCTTTGGAGGCTGTCCTGGAACTAGCTCTTGTAGACCAGGCTGGTCTCGAACTCAAAGAGATCCACCTGCCTCTGCCTCTGCCTCTGCCTCCCGAGTGCTAGGATTAAAGGCATGCGCCACGAACGCCCGGCTTTCACATTTTCTTAAATTAGCACATTTTTACCCAAGCCTTTGACTCCTAAGTCTTATTGCTAAACAGAACAATAGACACCTAATTTAAACCTAACTAGCTCTTACAACTTAGATTAACCCTGATGGGGAATATTCTTCTATGTATGTTTATCTTATTGGTTGTTGAATAAATTGAATAACTAGTAATCGAGGAGGATTCTGGGAAATGTAGTAAAAAGAAGTCTTGTGATTTAGGCAGGAAGTGACATAGCAGGCAGACTCAGAATATAAGTAGGGACAAGCAGGAAATCGTTCTCTTCCTCCTCCTCTCTTCTAGGGAGCCGCCATGTGAGCCCTATAAGAGAGGACGCATGCCGCCAGCATCCTTGATCAGATAAGTCTTTATAAAATATATAGATTAATAATTATAGTTGATACTTAAGACAGAGATAGCAGATAAGAAATCCTGGTCATTGGCCATCCACATTGTAATTAATATAAGACTCTGTGTGTTATTTTGGGCACCCACGTGGCGGCAGGGTTTGGGCGGCCTGGCGGAAAGATTTATTGTTACATAACCCATTTATATTAATCTATATTCTATCACATGGTATTACCTCTCTTCCATCTTGCACCTCCTGTTTCTTCTCCAAGTCTCCTGGCACCTCCTGCACACTGAGATTCCTCCTTCTCTTCCTTTCTCTCCCCAGAAATCCTGCCTATACTTCCTGCCTAGCTTTTGGCCATTCAGCTTCTTATTACACTAATCACAGCAATACCCCTTTACACAGTGTACAAATACCACAACAAACCATTTTTATTATCTAGCCAATAATTTAATTAAATTTTAAAATACTTAAGATTTTACTTACTGATTGGCATTTTGCAATCCTGAAGGTCTTTGTTGTCCACACCATAAACACTATAGAAGCTGAAAGACAGAGAAAGTCACCTTTGAAAGAACATACAATACTGAAATGGGTAGTTTTTGAAAGAGGCATAGATGGCTTACCCAGCACAGCAAAGATGAGTGTATTTGTAAAATGCCTATACAATGAAAATTTCACAGTGTTCTTTCTTAGCCTTAGAGTCTTCATAGTCTGTGCCAAACTTATAAAAATGTGAAAAACTAGTTAAGGAAAAACATGAAAAATGGCAACATATAGTTAAAAGAAAACACAGTAAGAATCTTGTAGTATAGTCTCAAACACAGCAGTGCTAAATACAGTTCTTAAAACAAAACACAGAAAATGTATTTTAATCTATATCATTCTAAAATTGCACTTAATTACACAGTTTTCTATATAAAATTTCCATTGTCTTAAACAAATGAACAGGCTTTAAGGGAAAAAAGGCAAGAAGACTTGTAATGTGTTCCTGTGACATAGGACAGTGCCATGTACAAAGTCAAAACAGAAACCCTCAGCTAAGATACCTCTTGCTACCTATGATACCATTTCTGTTGCTTTCTTGTTTTCTTTTTCTAGCTGACTCTCATGTTATTCTCTAAATAGCCATAACTGAGTAGTTAGGACATCCATCAGTTCCTCTTTATTTAAAAAAAAAAAACAACTGACTGACAAGAAAACAAGCCTGAGTTTAAGTATCTTTTGGAAGGACAGGGGCGTACTAGGAATGTAAGCTCTTAAGCGACTTAGAAGGCCAGGGTGAAAAGGCCTGTGGACAGAAGGACACAAGCATGGGGAGTTGGCCAAGCACGGTGACAACATTCAGCTCTTTCCTGGAAGTCTGTTCCCATGAGGACCTTTAAAGAGGCTGTGTATTGGCTCAGGCTAACAGTGGGTCCAAGGACGTGGAAAAGTCTTGCAGTTTGATCTTAATTGGACAGCAGATACAGAAGGTTCAGCTAATTATTCATGAGGCAAAAAGTGGGAATTTGGAGGGTCTGGTCTGGCTTAGTCAGGTAAAGCAAGGGCATCCTGGACTCTGAACCAGGTACTATGGGAAGCCCTTTCCCAGAACACAAATGGTGGAGAAGTTATAGCATTGGCTGCTTTCCAGGAGCACCAGGCTCAACTAAGGTTAATACTGTTCTAAATGTGGACACAGAGACTTCCTTGCTGATCACTCAGGTCAGCAGAGGCCTGCAGGTCTCTGCTCATGCAGGTGGGTCCCTCCTTAGGGGCAGACCAGCAGCCTTTATTTATGAACCAGACACCAACAGCAACAGAGAGCAGGACAAGCTCTGAATTTACACCTATTTAAAAAACTAAACACTTCAAAAATCTGGGCAGTGGTGGCACACACCTTTAATCCCAGTACTTGGGAGGCAGAAGCAGGTGTAAGAAGCTCTGTGAGTTCAAGGTAAGCCTGGTCTACAAAGGGACAGCCAGGGCTGTTACACAGAGAAACCTTAACTCAAACAACAACAAAAACTGAAAAACAAAAGACTAAATACTTCATTAAAAAATTACTTTGTAAAAACTGATTTTTCATCCATTTTAAATGTCCATATATTTTACAGTGAAGGCTTCTCTCTCTCTCTCTCTCTCTCTCTCTCTCTCTCTCTCTCTCTCTCTCTCTCTTCCTTTTAGTTACTTAATTGAAAAAAAAAAGTTCTTTGAGAAAGGGTCTCACTGTATAGACATAGCTGGTCTGGAACTCGGAGATCCTCCTGCCTGCCTTCAAGTGCTGGGATTAAGATGTGAGCCACCATGCCTGCCTGGCAAGATCAGCTTCTGAGGTAACACACTCCAACAAATTAGATACTATTGTGAGAACCTACAAAAATGCAAACATACTATACTTCTTAAATATATCAGACAAACATATGAAACAAACAAATCTGTTCTTGTTTGATCATTCAAAGATGTTCTTTAAAAACCAAGGAGTTAAAAATATCAAAAGCAAATTTGAAACTGCATGAGCCTTTACTTACCAAGGCATTGTTTAATTAGGTTCAAGTTTAACTCACCCCACCACCGCCCCCTGCAGAAGAGGAAGCAATAATGAAAGCGTACAGGCCCCATAAGGTGGAGAGAGCCAGGCGAGCATGCTGCTGCAGTAGGAAAAGGATATCCACCAGCACAAGCCTGAGTCAAGAAGAGAGAGAGGCAGGCTGGCCAGAAGAACAAGATCAGAGTCATTCGCCTGCAGCAAAACAGCAAAATAGCAAAACAAATAACCAAGCAGCAAAGGCGGGCATGGGGAAACACAAGAAAGGCTATCAACTTTGAATTTCTGTCAGTTAAGATTCTTAAAGAATTAATTTGTGTTAGATTCATTGAAATCAAAGAGAGCAAAGTCATCACCCAAAACCATCAGTTTTATATGCAGCCCTGCTTCTATCTACTTGTCATTGTAACCACCTAGGAAATCTACTTCTCACCTCATAGTGGTAAAAATGGCCAAATGGCAGGAGACAGCAAACTTGGCAAATTCAGGTTCAAAGCAAAGTGGTATTACAGTAACTTACTTCCAGTCACCACCCAATACTGTCCAGGATAATCTTATTTTCTGGATTTCTTATGACCACTGAGTAAATTAAACCTCTCATTTTGAGTTCCCTACCTGCCCGTCCCAATCTGGCTGACTGTACTGGAAGGCAACAAAGTCAGTGCTGTCCAAAGGAGATAGCCTGCCTACATTTCCACAGAGATGGGATCAGAAAATATAGAACTCTTTCCTGAGTGTTTTCCCAATGAATATATATTTGTAAATCCTAAGACAAAACAGCACATTTTGTTTGTTTTGAGACATGGTCTCTTTATGGAGCCATGGCTGTTTTTGAACTCTCTTTGAAGGTCAGGCTGGCCTCTAAATCAGAAATCACCTCTGCCTCTCAAGTACCAGGATTAAAGGTGTACACCACCACACCCAACTACAAGCTTCTTCTGTGTGGAAAGTCTGAAGCTCGATTGCTTAATGCAAGGGCATATTCCCTGATTTGTCCAAAGCTCCAAGCACAAACTACTTTAGAAAAGAGGCAATTTCAAAGGGGCAGCTCAGGCTCCTTTCTGAATACACAATGTTGGAGGACAAGCCATCAGGACAGAGTTGTACTACTGAAGATGGTTGCCTCCATCTCTACTGCAGCTCTGTCATCCCAATGCCAGACGTGTCTATTTCCTGTCCATTCTCCACAGAAAGGCAAGCATCTCTAAGAAGCCACTGCAGAGGTTGCACAGGACCCACTCATGTCATTACAGTTTTCCCCACAGCCTCATCTGCCATGATTCCCCAGCATATTTACACGCAGGAAAGCTAAGTTGGGATATTCTGCCACTGCCCCCCTTAACTTCACACTTGCAACTATTCTTTCCCCTCAATTCTCTTCCTATTTACTCAACCATTTCTGTGAAGTCTTTATTTTTTCTGCCAGAGTTTTCCTTTTGCCTCTATTCTCACACCAGCACTCTAAAATGGCATTTCTCCTGCTATGTTGTTTCAGTGAAGTTATATATTTGTCTCTTTTATTGGGTGTAAATTCTGTAAACACAGAGACAATATTCTCTATTTATTCCTCACTGTGTAAAGTGTACATTGAGTACTTACATGTTTAGTGAGCTAACAGGAAAATAAAGAAATTCCTATCTGGGAAGTTATTACTTTCTTGCCATTAGCTAAACTCCTATATTGAGAAAACAATAATGCACAATTATATTTCATTCCACCATTATTATGAATTAAAAACATCTGATTTTAATACCACAAACTATTTTGGAAGGACATGATAAAGGATATGAACCACACAAAAATGGAGTCAATAACTGCTAAAGTAATGTCACTCAAAACAACAGCTAAATGTTTAGAACCCTGAAAAATAAAAGTAGGGAAAGCCTAAATTTACACAAGTAAATTTCATTGTAGTGTATAAGTATCATCTGAAGAAAAACAATTTCTCTTTTTATCACCTACAGTGCCATGTAATATTTTATATCTTGATGGAATTGTGTTAGCATATAGAAACCATCTGTTTTGGGAACAACAATTGTAATTTACCAATTTATTTCATGCTAGAAATAAATAGACTGACAAATAAACAAAATGCTTGCCATGCCCCAATCTCACCCAGACCTGCCATTTCCATCTTCTTTCTCATCACACGAAACCCAGACTTGATTCTATCAAAGGAACAGACTCCTACCCTCCCCTGATGGCAAAGGGACACACTCATGCAAGTATGTGGAAGGGAAGAAACAAACTATAAATTAGACACCTGCTTCAACAGTCACATTTAAAACAGCCACAATCTAAACTGCTGACTATGTAAATTTTAAAATGTATAATATTGTATTTATATATGCGGTATTATTTTTTCTAGTCTTTTTAGAAAAGACTAATTTTCTATGAATTATATGTATGCATATATATTTCAATATATATGAGGCTAGCTGGGTGTGGTAGTACAGGCCTTTAATCCCAGCATCAGGAAGCAGAGGCAGTCAGAGCTCTGTGAGTTCAAAGCCAGGCTGGTCTACAAAGAGAGTTCCAGGACAGCCAGGACTGTTACACAGAGAAACCCTGTCTCAAAAAACCACATATCTCTCTCTCTCTCTCTCTCTCTCTCTCTCTCTCTCTCTCTCTCTCTCTCTCTCTCTCTGTGTGTGTGTGTGTGTGTGTGTGTGTGTGTGTGTGTGTATGGGATTCTTCATGATTACGCAAAGGAACAAATATACTCGAAAAATAAATGAACGGGTTTGTAACGTGGAATGTAGATGCATCAACATAATGGAATGAAGCTTTATAATACTACTGAAAAATATCCTCCTTTAAGAGCCAAACAAAAATATGTGAGGTAAACATATGTGACAGCATAACAGATTAACTGCTCTGTGCATAGTGATCTGATCTACACATTGAATTCAAATATGTTTTGAGTAAAATGCAAGTCATTGAATCAGGTAAACTACAGTAAACTTCTCAATTACTTGGCTTCCTAAGGACCCAAGCTCCTTTCACAGGAGTTGTTTGGTTGGTTTTGCTTTTTTGCTAGGGGTTTTCACAGATTAAAATCTAACACTTCCTCAGAGGACAATGTGCTGCTGCCCACGTGACCAGGTCATCCCTGAAGATGATCTCCTCCTGGTTCTTCCAATTGTGGGACTTGCTGACTCCCCAGAGAAGTCCAGTTAGAGCAAAGTTAGAGTCAAACGAGAGAGGGGTGCTTACATAAGTGAAGGGAATAACTCTCTTTCTGCTCATTTGATCCATTTCTAAGCCCAGGATTAAGAATGATATGTCTGTGTTTAAACTATGTAAGGGCAAAAATAGACACCCCTAATAATGACCACAGGCATTTCTGAATGGAGCTACTTCCAAGGGTGATGACATCAGTGGTGCTTTCACCGTCTGCCACTTTAGGAACCACTCTGCTGGGCGGGCTCTTTCTTCACCAAGTATTAAGAAAAGCAGACTATTCCATCTGGAAAAGGCTCAAATTGGGACTTTCTCATACATTTTTATCTTAAAAACAAAGAAAAATGAAGAGACTAAATATGATTGCATTCCATGGCAACAAAAAGGGGTTAATGTGGCTTTTACCCCAATGACTCTCATGACGCCTTCAATGGCTGCAAAGATCAAGTAAAGCAGTCCCAGTCCAATCACCCGATGCATAACTGTTCCTAACCGAGGCCTGGAGTAAGCAAGAGGGTTGGGGGAGAGAGAGAGAGAGAGCATTGTTAAGTAGAGTAAATCTGAACACAGAATTCACAGAGTTAATACATAAAGGGAACTACTTAGTTATGTGGATGTGCTTGGAACTCTGCATTCTCTTTCAAGGACACAGTCACGAGTCCAGAAACACCAGGTCTTCTCTTTAGGACCTGAAGCTATGCAGGTGGCAGAAGGATTCAAGTTCAAGCAACAGGCTGAACATAACCAAGTACTACTTAGAATGGAGGAGCAGGTTGGTACGCCTAGGCAGGGATGCTATGCCAGTTTCTAGGGGCTGCTGACAGCGATTGTAACTTCTATTAACATTAACTGCAAACCATGTGGAACACTATCTTGGCGGAGCCTGCTGATCTTGGGACTGGACACAGAGCAGAATATGAGCACAAGGAACCCCAGTGCCCTCCCTCTCTTTCCGCCTCTCACCCCAGAGCAGGAGTGATAACATAATTTGGTTTTTAATCTTTCAACTTAAAAGTTAAAATATTTTTTATTCTTAAAACATAAATGAACAGGGTAAAATGTATTTTCTAATTAATAATATGAATAAACTTGATGGGATCTACAAATCAGAATTGATTGCACATACATTTTTCGATACTTTGAAACCCTCTTCTCAAAGTAATTAGAAGGGAAAAATGGCTTTGAAAACATTTAAGACAGTCATGTTAAAACAAAACTTAAGGGAAAGGGCTAAGTGTCAGGTGTAGAGAAGGGGACCAGGGTGGTGGCCTCCCCTCAGGTGATAGGCAAGCAAGGGCTTGGAATGCAGCCCAGCCTTACCTTGAGCTGGAGACCATTTGGACTCCATGCCCTGAGTGCTGGGACTACAGGTGTTCACAGACCTAGCTGTGAACTAACAAATCTACTCCAAGATACTTATTCAAGAAAAAATAAGAACACCTAAAAGCTCGTGCCAGTGATCATGACAGCTTTACCATTATTGCCAAGAGTTAGGAGGAAAATTTTTACCAGCTAGTAATAGCCCAACACCTATAGGGAGAAAAGCATCCTCATTATCCTGGGAAAGTTATATATAACAGAACCCTTCAGGAAACACACTTGATGGAAAAAAAAAACCGTGTACCCCTTTAAGATAAAAACATAAGCTGCTGAGAAGCACCATTCCTACTTACCTTCCTGCCTTTAGGAGGGAAAGAACTGGGCAGAACTGTGTGTGGATAATGATCCCCTACTAGAAAGCCAACAAAACCAGGTTGGCTCTCGACACCATAAAAAGCTGAGCAATTTGGCTAATCCCTACTCTAGTGTTGTCTATCTACACTAGCCATGTTGGAAGTTATATGGGATAAAAAAATTTACTAAAGTGACCAGAACTCCAAGATATCTATGAGCTAAATTAGCCAATGATACATGAGAAATTGGGGCTTAAATGGAAGTAAACTATCTTAGTCCTTATGGTGGTCAGAACCCCTTACACCAGAGGGAATGGAAGATCAGAAGTAAGACAGTTAAGAAGGAAGGTCTGTAATTCCGAGACATAGCTGGGTTTCTATGTTTGCATCTGGGCTTAGATGGCAGTTTCTTTCCTTCTTTTTAAAAAATAATTTAAACCTGGTTTTGTTGGCTTATTTATTTCATGTGCATTTGTGTTTTTACCTGAATGTATGTCTGTGTAAAGGTGTTACAACCCCTGAAACTGGAGTTACAGGCAATTATGAGCTGCCATAATTGGTGCTGGGAACTGAATTGGGTCCTCTGGAAGAGCAGCCAGTGCTCTTAACTACTGAGCTACTCAGTAGTTAACTACTTAACTACCTCTCCAGCCCCTAGACAGCAGTTTCTAAACAGAGTCTCTATTGATATTGTGAATGAAACACCAGACACAGCAATGTTACCTCTGCCTGGATCCCAGAGTCAACCAAACCCAACTCCATCATTTGTTTTAATTTCACTCCCATCAACTCTTCAGGAAGGGCCTGGGAGCCTAATATCTTGGCACTAACTGTGCTCCCAAATACAATGAGAATCGACAAGAAAGCATAAAGAATGCAGATCCCTGAAGCCACATTCTTAGTACCATTTTCCCACTTCTGCCTTCGCTATGGAAACTTCAGAGCTCCTAGATTCCTCCTAGTGTTTTTTTATTAGCTGATGTCAGACTGCTTAAGAGATAAGGTATGGTGGCACATGCCTACAACCCCAACACTCTGGGAGGCTCAGGCCACCTTGGGCTACTGGGATTCAATTCAGGATCTTCATTTGGAGATAATATAAAATGGCTAGTCCATGCAAGTTTTTTTTTTTGAGACAGGGTTTCTCTGTGTAGCTTTGTAGACCAGGTTGGCCTCGAACTCACAGAGAGTTTTTTAAACCCATGCTCTTACAGAGTTTCCTCTTGGGGATTCAGATTGGGACATTGAGAAGTCCTGAGTTCCACAGAGGTCATGTGCATGGACTAAAACACTAGACTAGAGAGTCAGGAGTTGTTCAATGAAGCAATACTTACTTCACAATGCCATAACCCAAGCTCACAATGATCACAAGCAGGCGAGCCAATGTCCTCTTCACTGCAGATATCAACTCTGCAAATATCAGTAAACCTTGGGCTGAGGGGCAAGGAAAGAAAACAATTCATTATTTACACTCTTGGAGGCCAAATAAGACTCTAAAAATTATTATGTGCAATGCAATGACTCTGACCCTAGAGTAATTAGCCACATGTGACTTACAAGCCATTTAATCCAACTGATATTTCAGGCCTCAGTGAAGGCAGTACTACCTCCAGAAGACTCACCTCAAGTCTGATTAGCTCTATTAGGCAGTTTTCTTCCTCTTCTTTTTTGGTTTTTCGAGACAGAATTTCTCTGGGTAGCCTCGGCTATCCAGGTACTCACTCTGTAGACTAGACTGGCCTTGAACCCACAGAAATCCACCTGCCTCTGCCTCCCTGACTGTTGGGATTAAAGGTATGTGCTACCACTGCCCAGAGTAGGCAGTTTTCTTATGTCAACCTGAAGCCTACCAGAGCTCCCCTCCACCTACATCCCTCTTCAAGTCCAGCAAACATCTGAAAGTTATCATGCTCTCTGGAGTTCTCTTTTCTCCATGTGCCTTCATCATTTATTCACTTAAAATACATATTTATAGCAGTAAAGTGCTAGCCTAGAATGTGCAAGGCCCTGGGTTCAAATCTCAACATCACAAAAAGAAATGGAAGTATTCACTGTATTCCCAACTCTATGACTGTAATAATAAAAGAGTCATCTTGATCCCTATCTGCATAGATTTTGAACTCTGGTTAGGCCATGTAAGCAGACACAACTCAGCATGGGGAGTGCTACATGTGACACAGTAACCCTGGGACTAGGAGACGGAGCAACCTAATACATAATACATACTTGGGGGAGGCATAATTGGTCTGGAAAACTCACAAAAGGTGAATAAATTAGGACTAGAAGAGTAAGTGGACCTATATTGGGGAGGGAAGCATGAAGAAGGGAAAAGCATAGTATGTATGCAGCAGAGTGCAACATCAGATGCCAAGAAAAGAGCACAGGATAGAGACCAGGACCACTCATGGCTCTGGGAACTCTGTTATAGAGTCTAGACTTAATGCTGAAGGCAGTGGGAAGTCAACAGCAAAAAGAGAAGAGGTGGGTGGGACAGAGGCCGAGGCCAGGACCAGGACCAGGACCAGGACCACTCATGGCTCTGGGGACTGTTATGTAGTCTAGACTTAATGCTGAAAGCAGTGGGAAGTCAACAACAATAAATACAGAAGAGGAATTGGTAAACTATAGCCCAGGAGCTAAATCTAGCCTTGCATATTTATGTAAATCAAGTTTTATCATAACACAGACATGATTATTTGTTTATTGCTGTCTGTGGCTGCTTTTCACAATGGCAGAGCTGAGTGATTACAACAGAGACCATGGAGCTTGCAAAAATCAAAAATATCTAGTATATTGGCTTTTACAGACTGTTCAAACATACTGACAGTGACTCAGTTTCTTTGACAACCCCTCTGGTGACATCTTAGATAAAGGACTTGGATTCCCTGATGGTTGCAAATGGTACTTCATCTCTTCATGGATCTCTGGTTTTTGCTGTTTTCTTCAGTTCATACCACCCTTGTTCTCTCTCTCTAAGTAAGAGATCCTTACCAGAAGAGAAAGAGGATGAACTGCCTTCTCTGACACTCAGTCAGGTTTCAACCATTATCATCTAATACTACCCCAACCTACCCCTGACAGTGGTTGGGAAGGAATCTAGGGCCCATGTATGCTAGGCAAGTTATCTACCACTGGGATATACCCCAGCACTTTCTGACTTAGAACACACATGCAAACATCTGTGTGCATGTATACACAAGCAAATATACAGCAGGAACAGCTCTACTATGCAGACTCCATGTTGGACCTTTGTTGATAGTTCTTTGCAGATAAACTTTTAGCCTTTCTATTTTGATGAATTTCTAACACTCCTCAACAGAAATTAGTGTAATAACTTCATATGAACCCGTCACTCAGCTTCAATAAACAGCAACTTGAGTCCAAAGTGGTTTCAGGAGTATTTCAACTCAGTTCTTTTTTCCTGGAGTTGGTCAGCATCACTGTCTGTTAATGATCTATTTGTGATTATACTCAAAATGTCATTTTACCCCTTTGAAATCCTCTCCCTTTCCAAAGTGTCAGTGTAAGAATGAATCCTCACTTTTCTGGCCTATTTGCATCTATCTTCTACAAGCCTGAAGCACACATCTGAAATGTGTACCGGTATCCTTCCCAGTGTCAGACAGCCCACTGTGCAAACCATGGCAGTGCCTCCTTTAGCCATATAGAGGAAGCTCTTGCAGGGTGAAGAGGAGAGCACAGACTACAATACACACAACTCGGTGCTACTATTTTACTCTCTTCTTTTTCAAGGGAAGAGAAAAAAAAATCATAGAAGGAAAAATTTCAAAAGCATTGGCCACACCTAAGGTACCCTTACCCATGTCTTGTCTTGTTTTAATACCATTAAAGAATGGGAATTTTCTTTTTCCAGAAACAAAAGTGAAAACACAGTGTCCTGATTTACCACTCAACACTCTATTCCCCACTGTACCTCAGCTAGGCTGCTAGCAAGCAAGCTCATGGCTCCCGCAACAGTGCTGGAGTTGGACATGCACGTGCAGCCATGTCTGGCTCTTCAGTGAACACTGGAATGCCGCCTCATGCTTTCTTAGTAAGAGCTTTATGAACTGAGCCATCTCCCCAGCCTCCTGACATTCTCTTGTTGGGTTCCACCCTCACATCTATGTATAAAAGGGGCCCTTCTACAGCTCTGTTCACACTAGCTAAAATACACTACACATAACTCATGGAAATAGTCGAAACTTACTTGACAGTCCAGTGCTGTTGATGTTTTGGTATTCACTATAAAAAACTGCTTTTTCAAGCATTCCTAGGAAAATCACAGCTGCAATCCAGAACTGGATTCTTAATATATCTTTCCAGTAACAGGCAGACCACATCAGCCAGAGGACACCATAAAGTATGTAAACAATACACATCACCATGTAAAACTGCAGGGAGAGAAACAGTGTTAGCCTCTGACCCTCTAACTTGAGAGCTGACATCTCAGGAAACTCAGCCCCCACTTCATCTCCTCATCACTCTGGAAGCAGAAACAGAGGGCTTGTCAGAGCATATCTACAGAGAAGTTATACTACTGAACTCAAATTCCTTTGGAGAAAAGGATGAGACATACTCACAATCATTAGAGGCCAGTCTGACGCAGAGATGTATCCATGAGGTCCAACCATAGAAAGAGAAACTAGCGACAGCAGGAGGGAGGGAGGGAGAAGAAGAAATGTAAGAGTTAACTAATAATCAGGGTTTTGGTTTTGTTGTTTTGTTTTGTTCTTTAGGTTTCTTGAGACAGGGTTTCTCTCTGTAGCCCGGCCATCCTGGAACTCACTCTGTAGACCAGGCTGACCTTGAACTCACAGAAATCCACCTGCCTCTGCCTCCTGAGTACTGGGATTAAAGGCGAGTGCTACCATGCCTGGAAATAATCAAGGTTTTAAAAACATTTTAAACATAAGCTCATTTCTCCCTATTTACTAAAAAAACTATATTAGTATTAAGCATCAAGTTTTAAGTCTTTAAAATAGATGTATGACTAACAGATCTGTGTTTGAAAGACATGTTTTAAACAGACAATGCAGATTCACATTAATGACAAAAACTATAGGATAGGGGTTAACCATACCATTCAAATTCCAGACTGCATCTGTTTTTTCTGTTTTAATAGAAATGATGAAGATGTGGAAGCCATCTTTCTGGGTCTTGGCTACAACATCCTGCAATAGAGAGAATAAGTCTTTGTTCTTTAAGACAGATTATTATATGAGATACAGTTAAACAGTTAACACTTAAACAATTTTAATAACTCAACAGATAAAACAGAGGGAAGGAATGGCAGGCAGTGGAAGGAAAAACCCCACTGTAAAATTTTTTCTTACCCTACACCCCCATACCCAAGAGAGGGGAACAAATGGTTCTCATCCTCACTATCTTCCACTACTTATACTGCCACAGGTCCCCCTAAATCCTCATTCCATATTTTCTTTAATATTATCACTCAAATATTTATTCTGGGTTGGTCTTGGTGGCACATGACTTTAATACTTAGGAGGCAGAGGCAAGTGGATCTCTGTGGGTTTAAGGCCTGGTTGGTCTATATAAAGTTTCAGACTATCCAGGACTACAGAATGAAACCCTGTTTTAAAAGAAAAAACAAAAAACAAAACCTAATATTAGAATTGTCACATTCCATTCTAATATCACCAAGCATTCAATTTTAGGGAAATGTTGATTTTGAAAAATTGAGTTGAAGTGAGATAATGTCAAAAATAAGTCAGACTAGCCAGAGAGCTTGAGTCTGAGGCCAGTACGGGCAGCAGTAAGACCATGCCACAAAACAAAATGAAACCATAGAATTAATTATTCCTGTCTCCACAAAGGAAATGTCCCATCACCATCCCCAATAGGTATCAAAGTCCTTGAATGCTCAAGTCCTTCATATAAAATGCCATGGGATTTGCATAGTCTACACACACATCCTCCTGTATACTTAGAATCATCTCTAGGTTATTTCTAATACCTAACAGAATGTAAATGCTATGCAAACAGTTTTTATAGTGGATTGAAATGCCTGTAAAACAAACACAGCACAGTCCACACCTGTGAGTACTTTCTTCCTTTTATTTCCTACTCCTCCACATAACATAGTTTGTGCCAAGAGTCTGTCCCAGCCACTACTACAGTGAATGTCTTCCTATTAGATTTCTCTTTGGAATGGCTGAGGAAACGTGAAGTCAGTATATAAAAGCTAAATTTAAGCTCTCCTATGCCCAATTCAGTACCTACACATAATTCCTCCTGATCCTCTGTATTTCTTACTCAGCCTCTGCCTCTTAGTAATTCCCCCAAATGCCACAATTTCCCCCCTGCTGTGCTACACTCCTGTTGCTCATTGTACTATGACACAGCAGCCTACTGAAAACTGGAATTTTTTTTTAAAGAAAAAAAAAAAAAAACTGGCTGCAGAGCTAGTCTTCAAAGAGTTTTTTTTTTTTTAAAAAGCAGAAATAGTATATGCAAAATAGAAAAAAACCAAAATATATTAAAGTTTTTTTTCTTTTCCAACTTTAATAATTATCATTCTGCAAGTAGTCACCAGGTTGATTTTTCAATCTTACTATAATTTGTACATACTGAATTTAAAGACAAAAGAGTTTACCATTGATCCTTCTTGGCTTGAAACATTTCTGCTGCCTGTTAGTTCTTTATTCTAGAAAAGAGTAAAGTACCATTCTATATTACTGCAGATATTAATTCATTCTAAACAATGGATTTAATGTTTAAATTATCTAATTATAACAATTATCTAAAAACAATCCATTCTAAATTACTATATTTCTATGGAGAAAAGTAGTTTTCAATAATTAAGACAAAAGTGTTAGAAGAAAACAGCTTTAAAAGTTAAATACCAGAGAGCAAGTCTCATTGTACTCTGAACATGAATTAACAAAGTTCTTTTACAGGGCTGAGAGATGGCTCGACAGTTAAGAGCCTGAATGCTCCTCCAGGGGACCAGGGTTCAATTCCTAGCACCCACATGGCAGCTCACAACTGTTTGTATCTCCAGTTCTAGGGGATCTGGCATCCTCTCACATACATGCAGGCAACACATCAATGCACATAAAATAAAAATAAAGTTTTAAAACATGCTACATTTAAAATAACAAAATTCTTCTGCTTAAAAAATGCTTCCTTGGCGGGGCAGTAGTGGCACATGCTTTTAGTCCCAGCATCCGGGAGGCAGAGGCAGGCGGATCTCTGTGAGTTTGAGGCCAGCCTGGTCTCCAGAGCAAGTGCCAGGATAGGCTCCAAAGCTACACAGAGAAACTGTGTCTCGAAAAAAACAACAAAAAAAAAAAAACAGCCTCGTCTACATAGAGAGTTCCAGATCAGTCAGTACTACATACTGAGACTGTCTCCAAAAAAGAATAAAAAGGAAGAGAATACCAATTTCTTTCTTACACATGCAAAAACTAAAACCAAGACTTAAAGACAAGCACCTTCCTTTCTGAAAACACTGACAAAACATTATTCAAGCCTGATGTAGTATTCACTTCAAATAAAATAAGTTGATTTTAACATGGCAAGGCAGATACTCACATTTAATGAGGGAAATGCCTGTAAATCACTGTTGCAATCTAAGTTTTCACTTTTTGTTGTCCAACAGTCAATGTTCTTGAAATAAGCACAGAAGTCCGTATCAGCATTAAGTGCATGTTTTTGTGACAGCTCCTATTCAAGGAAAAATTCTAGGTTATAATTTACTTGTATAATTTTTTTCTTAGAAGAAATAAAACTTCATATTTAAAGAATACTAAGAATTAATTCAGTTTGGAATATTTGAAAACCATGTAATAAAACAAAATACCAAAGAGAAAAAAAATTAACTATGATTGGAAGTATAACTGAGGTGATCATACCATTTTAGCCATTCCAGTGTGTTTGTACCCATTATCAAGTACAATCATGGACTTAAGAGATTAAGATACTATTATAGGGGGCCATGGGTGCATGACTGTTAACCCCAGACCATGAAGACTGAAGCAGGATAAAAGGCTATTCAATACTAGCCTGGGACACACAGAGAAACTGTTTCAAAAAAACAAAACAATAGCCAGGAGTAGTGGTGCACATCTTTAATATCAGTACTGTGGAGACAGAGGCAGGTAGATCTCTAAGTTCAAGACCAGCTTAGTTAAGTTCCAAGCCAAACAAGGGTACATAATGTAATCCTGCTTCAAGACAAAACAAAAATCAATATGCTACCACAAAGAAATAGCTTCCAGAAAAATAAAGAATGCCCTAGGATTACTTAAGTTTAATCCTATATGTAAGAAATGTTACAGAGAAAGAGAAGAGCAGTTAATTATAAAAAAGTAGAAAGCAAATGGTAAATAAAGCAAAAGCAGCTAACCTAACCCACCACTTTTGGACAAACAACAGAAGAATAAGTTAAGCCACTAACAGAAGCACCCAGTCTTGGAAGAATTGCCTCTCACAGACCAAATACAAGACAACTGGAGCAGAGCAAATAAAAAGATTCATTGTCTTTGGGACACACAGGGAGACTCTATCTCAAAAACAAAACAAAACAAAACAAACATCAACAACAACAAAAAACAATAGCTAGGAATAATGGGACATAAATTTAATTCCAGCACTTGGGAGGTAGAGTAGGAGTTTGAGGCCAGCCTAGTCTACAAAGACAGTTCTAGGATAGCCCAGGGCTACATAGAAAGACCTTATCTTGAAAAAAACAAAAACATTAAAAAAAAACAATAAAAATTAACTGATCATGTCCTATAATCAAAGTAAAAAATGAATGTGTCCATACTGTTGCCTGGGACCAATTAAAAAAAAAAACAGAAGAAACAAGGTAGCTCATTCACAAAGGAAAATGCTAAGACACATAAAAGAAAAATGGAAATAATAAAATCATTGTTAGGCTGCTAAATGAATGGATAGATATTTGATTTAAAAAAAAACGGACATTTATATAGCTATAAAAATTCTGTCTCACACACCAACAAAAAGTAGTAACTGTACAGTGGAGGGATCAACAAATACATCCTCTAGCAACTGAATTAACATCACCAAACACAACTCGATATTGTGTGGGATGCCTGGAATCGGATTGTGAAGAAGCAGAGCTAGTCAAACTGAGGGTTATTTTGCTCTAAATGAAAAGACAGCACTAATAAAATGGAAACCCAACATTACTCAGGACAGAAATCAAACATATAATGGAGAGGCTTTCTAAACAATGGTCATGAGACTCGTCAAAGAGCACCCTGCAAGGGGTTACAAGGAGTCCCTCTTATCCAGGAGAGGAGACGCCTAGCCTTAGCACAGCCTCTTTCTTCCTCTCTGTTCTTCCTCAGACACTGATTTGAATTCACGAAATCTACTTGCCCTCCTAAGGCTCTGGATTCCCAGCAACTCATTAATTGAATGATGTGAAAGTTCAATTTCCTTCTCAAATTAAGTTGACTAATCATAGCCCTTTATCAATGGCTGCTACAAGCCTGATTCAAACATTTTTTATAAGATACCTCAAAAGGACATTATAAAACTTAGTTTTGTTAAGAAGCACATACTTAAATCCCCAAACCAATTTGGAGCACTTCTAAAATTGTGAGCTCCACTTCTAGTCTATTCACCTGGTGTGCTATTAAACCTTTTTATTTATAATTTTTCCTCCACAGTTTTGTACGAATTAAAGACTTGTTTTCACTTACCTCCTCCAGGTCAGAGTATTCATTGTGACAGGTGTGATACTTCAAATGCCACTCTATGGTAAACTTCACAGGTCCAGAACAACTGAATGATTTCACTGTTGAGACAAACAGTTTTATTGCACATAATAACAGTCTAGTATGAACTTCAGACTTCAAGAATGCTGTCTGAAACTGGCTGTTTTAATGGTAACATGAGCAAAACATTACCTAATCTCTCTAAATCACTGCAAAATGAGAAGGATAAATTCATTAAATTTTAACAGCTGGCCAGAACTTGCTACAACTATTCAAATGTAAGTTCGATGTTGTAATCAACTAAGCATCCAGGCTTGCCCAGCTATGGCTTTTCTAGGTCTAACGTATTCTCTCACTCACTCATCCAAACCACATTGAATTCCTTGCTGTACACCAGGAAAGGCCAGCAGCTAACAAGAATGAAATTGATGAACTAAAGTGCTGTGAGAATTAACAAGTGGGTGCTGTGAGAAGCCCAAGAGGCTGAGAACAGGGTGTCAAGGGCACTGGCCACCTGACCTGGTCTAGGGCTAAGGCATGTTACCTGGAGGAAGAAAAGCAGGAATTAGTCAAGTGAAGAGGGGGGTAAAGAGATGCACTCAAGCCTAGTCTAAGTGTGAGCCCAGACCAAACATGACTGCCTAGATACGGTTCAAACAGACCAAGCAGTATGACCTTTAGTTTGAATACCATAAAGCACCTCCAATGCTTAAAGTCCTAGGTGGTGTGATTAAGACTGAAAAGGGCTAGGTCTAAAGCCAGAGAAAGCTCTTGTTGGGAGTATCTATGCTACTACAGCTGGCTTCCCCAGAGCAAGCTATCAGGAAAGGGCAGAGAAGCCAGAATATCTTTTCAAAACATAGCCTTGGATTTTAAGAGCAACTTTGTAGAACGTGGTGGATGATGAGTACCAGAAGGTGAGGATCACCTTAAAAGATGGTAGCCCAAACAGAGCCCATAGATAAGGCCGATAGAATTTTAGGGAAAAAAAAATCATTTCTTGCAAATAACTAAGCTTAGAATAAACAAAATTCTACAATATTAGGATTAGTTCAAAACAAAACATTCAGTATTGTAGACTATGATTTTAATTAGGCAAAGACTGTTACATTTGTGTATGCTGCAGAATATTACTTTAACTGTGTAAAGGTGTGTTACTTTTGTTTATGCTGCATTTGTTTAATTACACAAAGATGTGCTGTATTTGTTTCACCTTGCCTGCCTAAGGCACTTGATTGGTCTAATAAAGAGCTGAATGACCAACAGCTAGGCAGGAGAAAGGATAGACAGGGCTGGCAGGCAGAGAGAATAAGTAGGAGAACTCTAGGCTTGAGAGAGAAAAAAGAACAAGGAAGGAAGAGAAAATAAGGGTCATGCCTGGGGCAAGAAGTCAGACAAGACTTAGAGAAGTAGTGAAAGTAAGGCATACAGAAGAAAGGTAGTAAACCCTGAGGCAAAAGGTAGATAAAGAGAAACAGTCTAATTTAAATTAAAAGAGCTAGCCAGAAATGTGCTAAAGCTAGGCCAAGCATTCAAAGCGATAAGTCTCTGTGTCATGATTTGGGAGCTGACTGGTGGCTTAAAAGAAAAGGCCAGGTATAATTCAGCTTAATGTATCTTACATTAGTTTATATTAATGTACATATTTATAATATATCAAAATTGTATATTAATATACTTACCAGAAAACTTGATCTCAGTAGAGTTAAACATAGTTTTCCTAAATATCAAAGGTCCTGATTTCTAAAGTGAAAAACAAATACAGAAAAATCTTAGTTAAAGCTTTCTTTATTGTTTAAACGTAGCTTTATCTTCTAAATACAGAACACTAGTCCTTGTGACACCGTCTAATCAGAGTGATTATATTTTAAAGGTTCCACACCTAGCCTTCAAGTCAAGACATTTTAAAAATGCAAAACTGGGTCTAGAGAGACGGCTGGGTAGTTTAAAATGCCTACTGTTCTTGTAGAGGACTAGAGTTAAGCTCCCAGCACCCATATCACAAGGCTCACAACTGCCTATAACTCCAGCTCCAGGGGATCTGTGCCTCTTCAGACCTCTGCAGGTACCTGCATTCATGTACACATTCCCCCATCCCATATACATAATTAAAAATTATATATAAATCTTTAAAATGTAAAATTGACTGTATCTCTTGCTGGCTTAAAATCTCATTGCTGTGTTTATTCCCTAGTTGTTGTAAGGATCAGAAGTAGTGGTCCTGCCTTCGAAGATCATGAGTTCAACGCCATCCTGGGTCACACAGTGAACTCTGGAAAAAAACAAAACAAAACAAAACAAAAAAAAACGAAAGACCTCAAAAAGTCGAAACTGGAGCTTGGTGATACACAAGACAGAGGGCTCTGGCCATTATGGTCAGTGTTGCTTGGGCATAATACAAAACTGCACATTGCATGATGTTCTCTTGGCATCAAAGTTAAAAGTATTTTCAATAAATTACATTCCTCTGCAAATTGATTTTGTTTACCACTGTACTTACAGCAGGCCAAAAATCCTGCAGACCCCACACAATCAAAGCCTGCTTGCCTCTCCAGCAATGTTTCGTTTCTGGAAAACTGCTGCTGGGACCTCAGCAGTCAACCTGAAAACTGCAAACCCCTCTCGTGCTACTTAGCTCCTTCTTACCTCAAGAACCAACTCAAAATCTCTTTCCTGGCTGGGAGTATGTAGCTAGCGAGTCTGTTTAGCATGCTTCCAACCCTGGGTGTGCTCCCCAGTGACCCCATACCTCCTTTATGCGGTCTCTAGTAGCCACCTTGCTTCACAACGATAACCACAATTAAAGTCAAACACTTCTTCCCAAGAATAAAAATCCCGCAAGAAGGGACCATGCTAAATGAAAGAACAGTAAGGAATTATAGAGCACTGGTAGGACAGGTCACTCTTTTTGGTAACCATTTCCCCTCCCCAACAGTTCCCACAATAATAAAATCAGCAGCCCAGATCCCTCCTCTGATCTCGAAGATACATACAGTCATGGATATGTACATCAGGCACATTACACTAACCTGCATTGACCAGGCACACTCCTCTCTGTTCTCACCAAGTCTTACACTGTCTGCTGTGAAGATCAAGCCCTCCCGTGACCTAAGCCATCACTCCCTCGCTTCCACCCCAACCCCCAGCACAGGCCTATTTACAGCACTCGCTTCCCGTGTTTAGTTCTTCCACATCTACCAACATGGTGCCATGCTGCCCCTCAACATTTCTGCTTTGACCTCAACAGTATAACTGGCTCTTCTGTCTCCAGACCTGAGCCTACCATTTATCATTAGGTGGCAGCCAGAATAATTAGCAGTTTGCCAAAATCCCTGTAATGGCTCTCTGTTATTCATATCCAAAACTAGCGACTGATGATCCCAGGGCTTAATCAACCCCCGTAGTGATATATTCACCCCCCCCACACACCTGCAGTACTGACCACACCCTTTTGGGTGGTCACAGGTGCGGACTTGACCAGTTAAAAGGAATAGAATTGGGGCTCAGAGGCCCCTTTGGTCTCGGAGAGCATCTGGGTAGCAAGGTCTGCACCCTTGGAGCAGGAGACCACGACAGCTATTTGCTTCCTGTGTAAGTTCTTTTCTCCTGATAAACTCCACTTCATCTTACTGGGTCAAGCATCCTTATTTTCACACCCATAACCCCCAAATGGGGTGAGGGGGTATATCTGGCCCATGATGAGCAATTAAAAAAAAACCAAAAACAAACAAAAAAACTTCCAAGTTAGGTGACATAATACACATACTGTTTCAAGCTTCACTTAAAGGAGTTCTGGCAATTCTGAACCATAGCATCTCCTCATCTGGAGTCAAATGACAGTTACTCTATATAGCTGGCTTTCCTTCCTGAGGGAAGAGGGTAGTCTAAGCTCAAGAAGCTTACAAGGCAGACAAGGGCCTTCCCTGAAATTACAGCAGCAGGGAACAGTTGCTGGGATGTTGTAGCTGCCTACAAGTTGTATGGTGGATCTTTAGTCACATAGCTCTGAGATCTTAGCCATGCTAGGGGCACCCTTGTTCTTATGAGTAACCCCAAGGTACTCATTGGTTCGTTCACTAAGATGGACTTCCATAGAGTTGTTGCTTTCACCTGTCACTGTCCTATTAGAAACAGTCTCTGAGGGAAAGTCACATAACAGTTACCAATTTCAAGAGACATGCTATCCAAACTCAGCTTACTTCAGACACGATCTATCTCAGCCCTGCAGGTCCTGTAGTTTTAAAACTGAAGTCTAGTGAGGAAAGCCTATGGTGACCTTAGTCCCCCACCTTCCAGAACTTCATTCAATAAAAACACCAAGAATTACCCACACTGCTAATGCTCCACTCCTTTTCTTAAAAGGAGATACCTCTTCATCTTTTCAGACTAGCTATACATCTCCACAAATCAGGGTAAGCTGGCTCCATCAGTACTTGAATACTAATATCCCAAGAATGCTATGGTATACTAAGTATCTGCTCATAAATGTGCTGTTCCCAATATTGTGTTAGCTCCTTGAGATGAGAAAACATCATATCGAAAGTCATCTTTGCAAGAGTAATAACCAATCTAGTACATGGTATAAGGTGGTGCTTGTTATGCAATGATTTTTTTTTTTTTTTTTTTGGTTTTTCCAGACAGGGTTTCTCTGTGTAGCTTTGGAGCCCAACCTGGCACTTGATCTGTAAACCAGGCTGGCCTTGAACTCAAAGAGATCAGCCTGCCTCTGCCTCTGCCTCATGAGTGCTGGTATTAAAAGCATGCCACCAATGCCCGGCTATTTAATGATTTTTATATCTAAAAGAACTTATTTTTTCTTTTGAGGAATTCACAAAACAAATGAAAGCCTCATTCTCTCTGTTCTAAAAGACAAATTCTGACAATTTAAGAAGAAAGCAATCAACCTGCTTTTTGCAAAGAAAAGCTTGCTGATGCTCCTGAGCTACATAGGAAATAAACTCAGCCTGACCACCACACATGACAGTCAAGAAAGAAACTCTGCTTGTCAAAAGATCCTGTCATTCTTCCCTGTGGGACTCTCACTATAAAGTATGCTCAGCAAAGATCTTTGCAGACATGCTCAAGTAGAGTAACAGTTTTCACGTAGTTAATTCACTTGCATTGTTTTTACTTGGAGTTTACAAACACTGCCTTAATCACATTCACTACAGAGGCAGTGGGAAACTGTGAAGTGTGCTTCCACAAAAGTTGCTTTCTATTGATGAGAAGTTCAGCAATTGAGATGGGCAGCCCCTGTCATTGGTATGTCTGCAACACAGGGCACCGACTCAGAACAATCTTCAAAGAAATGCTACTGAGCCAGGATACAGAAACAAGCCTATCTTTGATCCTCTGTAGCTTTGTGTTTGGAAGCGTGTGCAGCTTCTGATATTACTTTAGGTTGCAGAAATAGAAATTTCATCTTTAAAAGCTGGACGTCGTCTCAATGCACCCCAAGCAAATCTGGGTGAGTCATCTGACTCCAGAGAAATTCTAGAGACAATGCCACTTCCTGAGATCCCTATCTCTTTTGCAAGACTTTCCATAATTCGGCCCCTGCATTTCCCCACATCTTTTAGCCACACAGAACGTCAAGCTCTCTAACGGCCTGCCCAGTTAAGGAAATTTTCATCCACTCAAGCCTCCAGACTTGCCTTTTAAATACTCCTAAGCACACACCTTGCCCCGCCTACACACGTAGAAGTCCCTGAACTGTGATAGGAGCGCTAAAGAACACATACAAGCCCAAGTAAATAAAATAGAGGCGAGGTGGTGACTGTGTGCATGACTATAGAGCACATTAAATGTGCACTCTAACAGAAGGGGTAGACAAACCTCTCTGGGGTCTTAAGCAGTAATCTAGCCGAAGGATCAGTCTCAACGATGCCGCTGGGAATGCAGAGACTGGGGGCTCTGATCAGAACAAATAAAGGCATGATCTAGACACACCGTGTCAGGGCACAGTGAGAGTTCAGGACAAGCGGGTGGAGAGTCTCGCGAACAGCAAGAGCATTTGGAAGGGGAAGCCGGCCTAAGGACAACTGGGATCGCTCTTCCCTGAAGCCCACGTCCGGCAGAGGGGTGGGGACGCTCCTTTCCTAGAGCTCAGTCAGACAATGGGTTCAGGAAGCCTGTCACTGGACCCACCACTGTGGGTGAACAAGCCCAAGGCCAGACCGGTGCGCGGGCGGAGCTACCCTGCCAGGGCCCTGGGAGCCTGAGAAGCGCCACGCCTCAGTCCCCAGAGTACTCACGTCATTGACGGTCCTCGTCCAAAGCCCGAGCTCAGGGACGGCGTCGACAGCCGCCGGGGCCCAGCACAGGAGGCACAGGGCAACGCGCAGCAGCTGGGCCGGGGCAGGCAGGCGGCCCAGGAGGCCGGGAGGGAGCCAAGCTGAAGAGCGACAGGCGGCAGCCATCTTGACGCGGAAGCCGCACCTGCAGTCCCGGAACCGACCACGCCCCGGGGCCGCACCTGGCGCAGTTCCGCCCCTAAAGGGCGGGCCCGCTGCGGGCGGGCGGGGAAAGGAAGCTTGAGCGGGAGTGCAGAGGGCGCCTTGGGCTGAGGCAAGGCGGCGCCGTTAGTCTGGGAAGCAGGGCGGGACCTGGAGGTGGCTTCAGGCCTGGGAGAAACAGAGGAAGCGTGGAGGGGAGGGACCAGAGTGGGAAGAAGGACCGGCTGGCCCGGGAAGGGGGCGGGGCCGAGGAGGAGGCGGGGCTCAGGCGGTGAGGCCAGGAATGAGGCGGGGCCAAGAGTTTAATTAGGGAGGGTTTATGGACGCGGGGCGTGGTAAGGAGGCGGGGCCTTCCGGGGGAGTTGGGGAAAGCCAGGACTGCAACCAGATTAAAGAGCCGGGTGGGCGGAACCATAAACTGTTTGGAAGGGAAGCTTGAGTGTGGGAAGGGGGAGGCGGGGCAAGGGGCGAGGAGAGGAAAAGGAGGAAAAAGAGGCAGGGCCTGCAAGGAGGTTAGAAAGGAAAGACCTGGTCTGGACGATAATGGGGCTCTCTAATGAGGAGTTGGCACAAATGAAGGTCCCATTGGAGCATCTTGGGAGTTCAAAGACTGCCTAAGCTATATAGCAGGCTTGAGGCCAGCGTGAGCTACATGAGACCTTGTCTAAGAGCAAAACAAAACAACAGATCGTTTGTTAAATAACCATCCAGATGAGCTCTAAAGGAAAAAAAAAATCGTTTCTGGAGCAATAGTCAGATCTCACCAGTAGGTGGCACTGGTAAACTAATAATGTTTTATATAAACTTACTCTTCCCTGGTGGTCTTTCTAGTCCCCATTAGATAACAGTTGTTATCTTCAGTAGGACTTGTTGTCCATATTTCTAATTTACTTACTTTTAGTTAAGTAATTATTTTTCAAGCACATTTGAGTTTACAGTGAAGTAAAGAGAAATGTCTCTCTAGAGAGTTCTAAGATCACCCTGGTCCCCCCAGCAATCTCCCCTCCCACCTAAGCAACATCCCACACTACAAGAAGTGCCTTTAATAGAGATCATTGAACTAGTGATCAATTCAGAACACCTTTGTTTTTACTGCTTATTAAGTATCACATAATGGTAGTGATTTCGAGTAATACACTCAACAGGGGTTATTTTACATTATTAATGAGCAGATGGACTAGTGAGAGGATCCAGAGGATAAAGGCACTTGCTGCCAAGCTGGACCACCTGAGATCTATCCCTGGAACCCACGTGGTGTAAGGAGAGAACAGACTCTGGCATGTTCTTTAACCTGCACATGATCCTTACTGGACACACAAATAAAATATAATTAAATGTTTAATGGAGTAATTACTTTTGTCAATTAGATGTTTCTTTTCTAGGGTAATTTCACTTCCAAGGAAGAGTAGTGCTAATGTTGATTCTTTAAGTAAGTCAGGCTGCATTTGTTACCTCCTATATCCAAAGCATTCTATCTGGATAAGATCAATAAAGTCTATCAACAGGCAGTGGATATAACTTTTGCTCAGTGTACCCTGCCCTGGTCTGATCCCAATCATTGCAAACAGAGCTGATAGGATCGGAGAAACTGGTCATATCCTGAAGTGTCTGGAGACATGGCTCAGAGGTAAGAGCTCTGGCTGCTCTTGCAGAGGACCAGGGTTCTATTCCCAGCACTCCCATGGCAACTCACAGCCTTCTTCAACTCCACCTCCATGGGGATCTGCTGCCCTCTTCTGACCTTCCTGGGCATCAGGCACCCATGAGGTCCACATTCATACATACAGGCAAAACACATAAATAAATAGGTCGAAAATATTTTGAATTTTAAAAGTCTGTAAGTAACTTTTTAAAAAATCTTTATATTTTAGAGATTTCTTTGATTTAGATGATTCTAGAAGTAATTTCCGGGACAAAAACTCCATGTTCTTTAGGAAAGGAATGTATATGCCAATAGGTTAGCCTTATGGGGCATTTGCTATGCCCTGAAATTCACTTATGTGTTACACTTCTAATCTCCAGTTCGTCAAATGTGAATATTTAGAGAAAGAGATAATTAAAGTAAAATGAGGTCTTCAGGGTGGGCCCTTATCCAGCCTAACCAGCATCCTGATCACAGAAGAAACTCAGGACACATCCATAGCCTGGGGAGGACACTGTAGACCTAAGGAACAGTGACAAGCCCAAGACAGGGTCAGCCCCAGACAGAGGCAGTCAGAAGAATCTGACTGTGTCAGCAACTTTATCTTGGACTTTCAGCCTCCACAACCACAGAGAGCTCATTGCTGTTGTCTGAGCCGATTGTTTTGTCAATCTTAACAAGTCAATGCAGACAGCAAATGTGACAGGGAATGGAATGTGAACAATAAAAACAAGATAATTATCCAGTCAGCTACCATGGTGGCAAATGGTATGTAATCTCAGAGACTTTGGAAACGTGTGTGTGTGAGCTGTGTCCCCAAGTCATCTCAGCAGGAAGCTGGATTGTGTGTCTAGATGGTTCCTGGTTTAGGATAGACTCAGAGTTTTTCAACTTTAGGATATTACAGAAGCCACACACACCGGGTTTTCAATGTTGATCTGTCCATGGCTGGAGATGTGTGGCGTGGTGCTCTTTGGTGGTCCTGGCAGTTAACAAAATGGAAGAAAGCCCTGTAGTGTGCTGAGCTGTTGAGCTTGGCTGCTTGTAGGCCAGATACATTAAATGCCTCTTTCTTCTTGATTGAGACAAGGTCTCACTGTATACCCCAGTGTATACTTACCATCCCAGGCTTCCACCTCCTAAGTGCTAGACCTAAGGAGTATACCATCATACCCAGCTGCTTCCCACCCCTTTCTCTTTCTCTGCTTTATAGTGGAAACAATTTTATTTATTTATTGGCATAGAATAAAATGTAAAAATTGACATTGAATACATATATACAATATATTGTGAGTATAATTGCCCCTACCACGCTCTGTTGGCTCCCTTCCTTTCCCTTTAAACCTCTTATTTTTCCCCCAATTAATCTTCTCAGATTGGACCCTTCAGTGGATAGAGGAGTTACCCATGATTGTCTAACCCTTCCTGAGAAGTTGTGGACCGCTAATGCTGGCCTCCCTCCCCCTACCCACTCCCCTTCCTTCCTTCATTTCTCTCTTCTTTACTTTTTGTAACTTTAACTGTCCTGGAACTCGCTCTGGAGACCAGGTTGGCCTCGAACTCACAGAGGTCCACCTTCCTCTGCCTCCCGAGTGCTGGGATTAAAGGTGTGTGCCACCACATTTTACTCTTTGTTTCTTCTAACTGGTAAATATTGGACCATAGGTTTTATACTCTTGTGAGATGACAGACATGTGCCACAGTGCCCAACTACTGGTTACAGATGTGCATGTTTAACTTGAGATGCTTTCTACTTATGATGGCTGTATTAAAATATAACCCTATGAAGGGTCAGGGAGCAGAGGAATTTGCCTCTATTCATCCTTGGAGTATGGCCATCCCTTCGAGGGAAGTTTAAGTCCTATGAGCAAGGCAGAATAGCTTTTCCAAACATTGAAGAAAGCAAAGAAAGACGGGGGAAGTCAGCTCAGACATATGGATAGAAAGACAAGGAAGACAGCCACAAGGACCCCTGAAGAAACTCACCCTGAAACTCTCAAAGATGAATGCATGTGGTGTTAGGGATTTGATTCAAAACAATACAAGGATAGGCAGAAATGGGACATGTATCCAATAAGATGAGCTGTGAATTAATTTTTAAATGTATTATTATTATTATTTTATTTTTATGGGTATAGGTATTTTCCTTGCAAATATGTCTAAGCACAGAGGCCAGAAGAGGACATCAGATTCTCTGGAACTGGAGTTACAACTAGTTGTGAGCCTCCATGTGGGTACTGGGATCTGAACCTGGGTCCTCTTACAGAGAGACCACTGATGTGTCTCTCCAAGTCAGAACTAACCTTTTTCTTTAAGTCTGAAGAGAAAAATGGGCAGTCACATAACTCTTCTTATTTATAAATTTAGCTGTGCAATAGTAAGGAGGTTGTATCGTGTGTGAGAGATTTTTGCTGGATTTAATAATAGGATCTAAGTTTACACTCCTACATAAAACAACAATAAACCAGACCAAATGTATGAATAGTTTTTAGGGTACTGAACTTCAAGTGATGAAAGATAGTTATTTACAAGGAATGGGAAAAAGTGGATGAACACATACACAATGAGAGAGCAGGGTGGGGGTGGGAGTGAATATTAAGTCCCATGATTCCTCCAGTCTACTGACTTGAGGAAATTTTCAGGCTGTGAAACAGGAAGGAAGAATCCAGACAGAGCAGGCAGACTCTGAGAAGACTGAGCAGGAGTTCAGTGTGATCTAGGGGGTTGGAGTTTTCAGGAGGAAATAGGTGAAAGAAAGAATGGTGTAGAGGAAGACTCAGATCTGCAGGGGCAGGGCTGTAACTCTTCAGTAGAGACTCTGGACATTCCATGTAGAGAAAGTAGTGTCCCTTGTCCTTCAGGAATCTGAGCAGGCACAAAAGCTATGTCTGCTCATGTTTCCTAAAACTGGCCTGACATTTGCATATAATCTACACACCTCCTCCTGAACACTTTTGAGTATCAAGATATCTTACACTTTCCTTTTCAAAAATTACATTCATTCATTTAATTGTGGAGGGAGCATGCACATGCCATGAGGCACATGTAGAGGTTAGAAGACAACTTTCAGGAGTCAGTTCTCTCCTTTCAACATGTGGATTCCAGGGATCAAACCCAGCAAATGCCTTCACTCACTGAGCCACCAGGCCAGTCCTAAAGGCCTTTAATGTCTAGAACATTGCAAATACTATGTAAAGAGTTGTTACACTGCTTTGTTTAGAGAATAAAGAACTAAATAGAATGCATGCCTTGCATAGTTTACTTTTTGTTTCATTTTTTGGCTTTCAAGGAAATTTCTATCAGAATATTTAGAGATTTTTTTTGACATAAATAAGGGTTGGTTTTCTACATTT